CCATGCTGCTTATGTTATGCTATCTCACAGTGCTCTGTCCTTTTATTGGTCCTGCTTTCTCCCCAATTCTTGTTTTTCCTGTCTGTCAGCTTAGACACTGTCATACTATACATACAATGTAATAAATGAAATAACACTGATAGAAATGAACAAATACACAGATAAAAAATAAACAAACACATGAACAAGAAGTTTAATTTCTAAACTTTATTTTTTCATACAGTTTACATTTTTTATATTTTCAAACTTTCATATATATTTTAAGTGAGCATCTGTAACTAAACAGTTTCCTTAGAGCGAAACTCTACTGCCAGCTAGTGTTTTGAGGGTAAAATTGCAGAACAACACAGGCACAAAGGTACAAACACTGGCGACGATGCTGGTTTCTTGAATAGGCTATGCATTAGGCTCTAGATGGCCTCAACACAGAAGTCTAAATTAAGCTTTATGAAGCACATTTTCTCTACCAGTAAAACTAAAGATAATTGTATTTCAGCTTTAATGTATTACTTTTCAACTAGATTTATATTTTGATGAGACAAGGATATCAGAAGATGCCTTTTTAGTTTTCTCTTGGGCTGTGTGTTGGTCTACCTGCTGCAGAATCCTGGAGGTTTGATGTTCTTTTAACAAATGCTCAGAGGCCTGTGAGATTTCTGGGTACTTTGCAGTTTTTACTGTTAGCAATTTAGACTCACAGCATGTAATTTTCATCTTTATCAACTAGAGGGCGTCAGATCTCTCATCTTGGCCACAACATTCTTACAAAAGACATTTTCTAATCTCAATGGATATTTTTTGCCCTGGTTAAATACAGATAAGAAAATCACTCAAACATAGTGACTGAAAACAGTGTATTCGCAGGTGCACTTAAATAATTATAAAAACCTCATAATTATGAAATTATGAAACGCTTTTCAGTGGTTCCCAAACTTTTTTGTATCCCTAATTTAAAAATTAGGGATACAGTTTGTCTGTGATTTGGACAGCCCAGCGCGTGCTCCCGACGCAGGGAAAACCAATTCTGCAGGGGAGACCTACCTTGGCACTCGTGCAGCTGAAGCCAAAGGGAAGATATGCTTCACTATTTTCTAGTCTTTGGCTTGGAAGGAAGTTGGTTTGGAAACATATTTGGCGATGCTTCATCTCCTGCTTTGCGTTTGTGTGGGAGCCCTGTCAACGCCTGCAATGGCTCTGCGCCCACCCTAGGGGGCGGGCCCCACACTTTGGGAAACTCTGCGCTTTTGAATTTCAAGATTTCTGCCTAAATTAGATTTGATAAATCTCTGTTGTTATTAATGGGATGTCCATTAAGAAATAACTTTTATTCGGATGCGGTACTTTTGCCACTTATGAAAAAATCTCAAAAACGAATGCATTAAATCGTTAAGTTAACTCAACTAAATATGTATATGTAGTTAGTTTAAAGGTAGCTTGATGATAATTTTGAGGACTGTTTCACAATCTCTTTGACGCTCTTGTGCAACAAGTATTTGCAGATGTGTGAAAAAGGGGCTGCCACGGTGTCAAAAAAACATGACAGAAGACAATTCACTTTCATTTCACATCAAAAGAAGCATAACTGACATTTATGTGGTTCGTATATCTGACTTCTCTTGCAAAATTCACACAAAAATATCACATCAAAAAATGTAAACAAAAATTTCGGGGGTTTTTTCTAACATTTTTAGCTTATACTGTTATCTAAAATACAATTCATTGGTGACAATTAGCAGTACAGAAGGCCAAAAACTACAGGGAGTGCAGAATTATTAGGCAAATGAGTATTTTGTCCACATCATCCTCTTCATGCATGTTGTCTTACTCCAAGCTGTATAGGCTCGAAAGCCTACTACCAATTAAGCATATTAGGTGATGTGCATCTCTGTAATGAGAAGGGGTGTGGTCTAATGACATCAACACCCTATATCAGGTGTGCATAATTATTAGGCAACTTCCTTTCCTTTGGCAAAATGGGTCAAAAGAAGGACTTGACAGCAGTCTCAAAATTGCAAAGCTTCTGAAGCGTGATCATCGAACAATCAAGCGTTTCAGTCAAAATAGTCAACAGGGTCGCAAGAAGCGTGTGGAAAAACCAAGGCGCAAAATAACTGCCCATGAACTGAGAAAAGTCAAGCGTGCAGCTGCCAAGATGCCACTTGCCACCAGTTTGGCCATATTTCAGAGCTGCAACATCACTGGAGTGCCCAAAAGCACAAGGTGTGCAATACTCAGAGACATGGCCAAGGTAAGAAAGGCTGAAAGACGACCACCACTGAACAAGACACACAAGCTGAAACGTCAAGACTGGGCCAAGAAATATCTCAAGACTGGTTTTTCTAAGGTTTTATGGACTGATGAAATGAGAGTGAGTCTTGATGGGCCAGATGGATGGGCCCGTGGCTGGATTGGTAAAGGGCAGAGAGCTCCAGTCCGACTCAGACGCCAGCAAGGTGGAGGTGGAGTACTGGTTTGGGCTGGTATCATCAAAGATGAGCTTGTGGGGCCTTTTCGGGTTGAGGATGGAGTCAAGCTCAACTCCCAGTCCCACTGCCAGTTTCTGGAAGACACCTTCTTCAAGCAGTGGTACAGGAAGAAGTCTGCATCCTTCAAGAAAAACATGATTTTCATGCAGGACAATGCTCCATCACACGCGTCCAAGTACTCCACAGCGTGGCTGGCAAGAAAGGGTATAAAAGAAGAAAAACTAATGACATGGCCTCCTTGTTCACCTGATCTGAACCCCATTGAGAACCTGTGGTCCATCATCAAATGTGAGATTTACAAGGAGGGAAAACAGTACACCTCTCTGAACAGTGTCTGGGAGGCTGTGGTTGCTGCTGCACGCAATGTTGATGGTGAACAGATCAAAACACTGACAGAATCCATGGATGGCAGGCTTTTGAGTGTCCTTGCAAAGAAAGGTGGCTATATTGGTCGCTGATTTGTTTTTGAATGTCAGAAATGTATATTTGTGAATGTGGAGATGTTATATTGGTTTCACTGGTAAAAATAAATAATTGAAATGGGTATATATTTGTTTTTTGTTAAGTTGCCTAATAATTATGCACAGTAATAGTCACCTGCACACACAGATATCCCCCTAAAATAGCTAAAACTAAAAACAAACTAAAAACTACTTCCAGAAACATTCAGCTTTGATATTAATGAGTTTTTTGGGTTCATTGAGAACATGGTTGTTGTTCAATAATAAAATTATTCCTCAAAAATACAACTTGCCTAATAGTCAAAGGAGCTTGCAAAGAAAAGCGTCTGGACTTCTTTAAGTTACTTGAAGATGTTTCACCTCTCATCCGAGAAGCTTCTTCAGTTCTAAGGTCAAATGGTGGAGAGTCCCAGATATAAACCTAGTGGGAGTAACCCCCCACAGAGGGACAAAAGGATCACATATTACAAAATCTTCACTTCTTTCTGTTTATCATCATTTTTATGCATCCCCAGCTTGGTGGAAATATGGGAAAGAAGCAGATGAGTCTCAGAGTTTATTTTTCAGTTTAAGGATTAACATATCATTAATAAACCACAGTAATAACACATCATAACATGTAATAACATGATCAGGCCCACCAGGTTATGAGCAAAAATGTACCTGTATGAAGGTAAGGCAGGCTATGCAGATAAAAGAGCATTCCACTTACTAAATGGTTATGTCCATATTTTAAATGCATATTTTTCTAGAACAATCTGGCATTAGGGGTTACATTCAGAAGAAACAAAATTATAAAACAGAAAAGTTGTTGGTTATATTATCAAAATAAGAACTGTGTAACCTGTTTAACTAAAAACAAAACTAAAATCTTCAAATGGTTAACAGAATACATATTTAAGTAAATGCACATAAAAAAATAAATGCACATAAAAATATTTTTATGACTGATTAAACATTAACAGTAGACTATTTTAAACAGAAATAATTTCATCCTGAATATCATAGATAAGTAACAGCCAGCAGAGAGCAGACCCTCTGAGTCGGACACTGCCTCCTACAGGATTTTTGCAGTCTTGAAGAAAGGCAGTCTAAAGGGTTGTGTGGTTTTGTGTATTTCTTTAGTTTTTGCAGACATACGATATATAATAGATGGATATAGTCAATGTTCTGCATTGATTAGTGAAGTTCCAATGTGAAGACTCAAAGCCTTAAGTTGATGATTATGACTGCTGCTGTCTTGGTGTTTTAATACCTGATGTGAGAAAGGAGACACATCACACACTGGCTTGAGGTATATCGTGTTTTATCCTCCTTTCTGACAGTAGTGGTGTCTATAATTACCAATGCAACATCATGCTGTACTCAGTAAGACCAGAGACTAGCAACTTAAACTTAACTCCATCATAAAAGTCTACTGAGCTGACAGAGAAAGGCAGCTAACGGGCATTTTCTTATACATGTCTTTACATCTGGACTACATTTAGCAACTGGAAGAGTTTAAAAAGCTATTTAGCATGAGCTTTTATATACAGTCTATGGTTGCAATTATGTAAGCTAAAGATGTGAGGGGTCTTACTGTGACTCCTATTGTCAGATGTGCACCTGGAAAATACTTATGGACACATTCAATCATTTAATTAACTGATTACAGTTGATTATAAAACTGTAATGTTTGAAATCTTTCATATTTTACAATTTTCAAATGCTGATAAGGTGCGCCTACAACCCCCCCAAAATTCACATCAGATATTTTTTATAGAAGGAAGGAGTGCATGGTGAACTCAGGGTTGCTGCCTTAAGTGGAGGAGTTCAAGTATCTCATTGTCTTTTTCACAGTAGATGAATAAGACACTGTGGCAGATTGACAGACGGATTGGCGTAGCTGTAATGCGGACCCCATATTGGTCTGCTAAAGTGAGGTGAGCAGAAAACGGAGTCGAGCTACTAATATGTCATTCAGTCACCAACTCGCTTCAGGCCATATGAACTGAGCCCTTTTCCTTCCTTCCTTCCTTCCTTCCTTCCTTCCTTCCTTCCTTCCTTCCTTCCTTCCTTCCTTCCTTCTCCCAGAATGCATTTAAATACAAGACAGACTGTCAGAAAAACATGTGAATAAAAAAGCAAATATAGAAGCTTTTCATAGAGACTTAGAGCTAAGCAATAATTAACCTTTATATTGATCCTCGTTTCTTTTACATATGTAGGATGTTTAGCAAATGCAACAGACACTGTATGATATGCTTCAATGAACATGAAAAAGAAAAGAATAAAAAAGTCCAGAGGGGGACATGGCATGCTAAAATACTGGCGACTGTAGACAAAGATTTTCAGAAAGCGTGACCCCTGACCACTGAGATTCTAACTCGTGATTTTGGCATATTTAAGACTATGCCAAAGCATCTGAAATGAATTTCAGTCTGGACTTTGACTAAGCTACTTCAAATCCTTAATTTAATTCACTCCCACCACCATGTTTACTTTGGTATGATGTGGGATGCTGTTTTGGCTTTCATAAATCAAATGAAAACAATTATTTTAATAAACATTTCATGCGCTGATGTTAAAAGAAGAGAACAGTCTACAGGATGACGCAGCAGCAGGTTGCTGGATAGTCGTCAGCATTGACTTTGTGTTCGTTGCCGTACACATAGTAGGCGTGGGTGTTGTCTTTCCACTCGTAGTTCACCCTGGTGATGGGGATCAGCTCGACCGTCTGCCTCTGAAAGAGAGAGATAGAGGTGCGTGTCAGCTTGAGTAGGAAAGCATTAGCTTAGCTTAGCATAGACTAAAAGCTGGAGGAAAGGAAACACATCAGCCTCATTCTGTCGTACGTCTTGACCGTCTCTGATTCGCATAAACATTAAATGGTAGATCATTATTAAATATTAATAATGATTGCTGTGACTCATTTGTCACAAGCTGAAATTTGTGGCAATGATTGAACATGACTATCTCAAAGACTATTAAAGATAAAAGCCTAATATTTTAAAATATGTTTTTAAAATATGTTCAAATATGTAAAAATAAATATCTAAATATTTAAAATTTGAAAAAAGTGCAAGACTACTACAAAGTCCTATATATGAAAGCAAACTAATAAAAAAAACTTCCCATTTCAAAAGACAGAAAGTGAAAATTTCTAAATAGTATATAGTTATCTTTCACAACAATGCTAAAATAAAACTGAATCCTTTTTAACATTAAATGATTATGATTTTCTTCATTTTTGTGATTATTTCCATTTAACTTTCATGTTTAATTGAGCAAATATCACAAGCTGTACCACAAAAACATCAGCAGATAGTAAAAATGGCACTATACCACTTTTTTATATCCGATACCGATATCATAATTTTGGATATCTGCTGATATGAATCCAATATAGTGTATTTTTTAATCAATAAAACTGTTTTTTAAATATTTTGCTGCATTTTGTATAAGTTCATACTCAAGTTTAAACAAAAAAAAAACTAAAGCTATTCTGTTATACCTGTATGCAAAAAATACACTGCACCCAAAATATTTCATAGTTCAGCATAGTGATGTGCGATACCACTGATTTCCTTTCCGATCCGATACCAAGTAATCGTCAGGGTGGTATCGACGATACTGATCCGATACCGATACTTTGTACAAAAACGTATTTTATTTATTGTATCTCAAATTATAGCGTCATAATGATTACAGGACATCAGATTTCTTGTTCTTATCACTTAGTAATGCAGAGTTCATCATATAGAAATAAAAAAACTGAAGTTGTGCGCTATTTGAACACCTTGCCTGCCTGCAGCACTAAAGGACTCCGTGAGAGACGTCACCTGTCCCTCTCCTCCTCTTCAGTTCGCCTCAACATACGCTATTCTGTGATATGATTTACTCTGAGGTGTTTGACAAGGTTAGTGATGTTGCCACAACCATACATGCCAACCCTCCTGATTTTTCCAGGACAATCCCGAATTTCAGTGCCCCTCCTGAAAATCTCCCGGAGCCACCATTCTCCCGAATTTCTCCCGATTTTCCACCCGGACAACAAAATTGAAAAACCATATCGCAGAATTTATAGCGCGGCCCAGCCAATTCCAGGACTTGTGTGTGATTGGTTACTGGGAGACCCGTGCCAACCCTCTCTTATGCAGAATGAAGTGTGCCAGACCACACGGACGATTGGCTGCCCCGGGATCCCATGATGCTCCAAGAGGCAATCAGTGGCTGATCGTACCCACCTGTGGCTACAAAAGGCTGGAGGTCCTTCACTCAGTGGCTGCTGCTTAGGACTGAACATGCAGTTTGCCCTTCGTGCCTCCCTCGTCGATCTTTTTTGAACTTATTCATATTGCTGAACTTTGTCGAACCTTGGTGCATGCTTTAAACTTAGCCTGATTAGAGTTTTGAGCTGCTAGCGGGCTGTGAGTAGGATTTTGTGAAGCTGGCTTGCCTTAGTTAAAACCCTAGCTTTTATTTTGTGTGCGGCCAGCCTGCCTTAGTTACCCTTTAACTTTTACTCGTGACTGTTCTTTCTTTATGTAATAATTGTCTGCCCAGTGGTCTGTTGCACAGCCCTGTCGGTTTTCTGTTTAAAGTTTGTAATTAAAACCTTTTGCTTTACTCAGTTTTGTGTTGGGGGGCTCGTGTATGTTACTCCCTCCCTGACGCCTAGCAGAGGGGGTCGTAACACTCTTATTTCTCTTTCTGGGTCGCAAAAAAACTTTTAACATATTTTCAGGTGAGAATGTAGCTGTGTAAACTTCAAATATCTGAACCGACCGACACATCGTCTTCAAACCCCTGCGGTCTTTCATTACTCGGGTTAAACATGATATATAAGTCACTTTGATAACTTAAAAATGTTATTGTTTGGCTTTTTCAGTGTTTTATTTGTTCATGAGCAAATCAGTTTGGCTGAGATTAAAGTTATTAGATTAGATTAAATTAAATTTAACTTAATTAATCCCTCGGGAGGGTTTTTACACAGCTGAATAAACGTTAAACAGAAAACTAATTAAACAAAGTGTGAGACGGTCGAGAGTTTACGCCAGCGCCCTGTTATATTTTAGATAGCAAGGAGCAGACGGCAGAGTTTCACTTCACCGAGGGAGCTCGTGACGTACTACCCGGCTTTCTTTAGACCACGAAGGCCGGGTCCTCAGGTGGAAGCAGCTTCTGAATTTGGACACCCTCGCTGTTTCCGGGCCGGCCAATAATAAAGGTGACATTTAATGCATTTTATCCGATGAATAAACACTGTAAAATGTATTTTGAATGTCTCCCTAATTCTGAGGTCTCAAGTATGGCCACAATACCTCACTCTTGGAGCACTTTTTTGCCACATGTATCACAAACCATGTCTCAGCTGTTTGTGGAGGTAAAATATGTCCGCACAATTACGCTCAGCCATTGTTGTGAGTGCGCACGCCAAGGGGCTGCGAGACATTTATACAGCCGTATTTCGCACATCACTATGAAAGAGGAAGTAGTTCCTTTGAATGTAGACAAGATCTGAATGTTATAGTTTCTTTCCACTGTGTTCCTGTTAATGATAAACTACAAATTTACCCTAAATTACTAAAATATCGATATTTTAATGTGAGAATTGATTCTAGAACATAAATGATTATGTATCGGAGGAATCGATATTTCAGGATCGATCCGCACATCACTAGTTCAGCAATACTGATCAATCTAATAAACTTAAACCTACACCATCCTCCCTATTCTGGTATTTTAAAGAGTACTTAGTGGAAATATTAAGCAACCTAACTAATAGGGTTGCAAACTCCCAGCAATATAAATAGGGAACCACTCCCCACCCTCCGCCTCGTGATGCTTAATCGACGTAATTTAATTTAATGCACGTGTAAAAAAAAAACAAAAAAACAAAATGCACAGAAATCAATTATTTTTCTACAATAATTAAATAGATTCAACATCTTTCTTCAACAGAATTGCAGACTGCACAGATGGTACCTTTCCAAAGGAAAAAGTACTGTAGCTTATAAATTTGACTTAATAGTTCCTATATACAATAATGGATTTCTATACATTTACATCAGATGAAAACTTTGGGTGTAAGATTCAGATAATTATGTATTAAAAGCTCGACATTTTAAATGAGAATAAGATGGAAAAGCATGTCTTTGTGCCCCCTTTTCCCTGTTAATGCCCTACCTGCCCCCTGGCTAAACTTTGCTAGACCCGCCCCTGCACAGTTACCAGCCGTCAGCTACGTAGAAAAGGATCCTGGTCTAGAAAGTAATATTAATCTCCATAAGTTGATTCTGTTCATCTGGACGTAGCGTTTTGTGGGAGAAACGTTTCGTCACTCATCCAAGTGACTTCTTCAGGCTCAGCTGACTGCAGGTTTCCCCAACCTTATAAACAGTACAACATTCTAACAACAGCTTATAAGCTCAAACGTGCTGCTGTTGTTTAGCCGCTGGTTTCCTTTTTCTGGTGCAAAGTGGGCCAAAAACAAACAAGGGAGACGGGACTTGCGACAGAAAAGCCGATCAGTTTCATGATTGAAGTAGCAACAGGAGAGGGAGAGAGAGAGAAGAGGCAGTCGCTCCATATATCGGTTGTTATGCTTAACGTGGGAATGCTTTACAAACATTCAGACATTAACTTACACACTTCTTCTCTCTGGGATAACTTTCTTGGAGATGAAATGCCGGTTTGGTAGCGAGACGCCAAGTGCTCAACCAGACCACCGAGAGGTCTCGCACGCCACAGCCGCTCTATCACATGACGCATACTGCTCCGACGTGCTATGAGTTGAGTTACGCCATGGCGCAAGTTTTTCTTTGAGGCGCTTTCGTGATATTTAATGGATTGATTACATTTTTTTATTACCGATATGTAATATTGGATCGGTCCATCCCCAGTAGATAGTCTAGCTTAAATAGAACAAAATCCTTGAATTTATGTTCTTTGTGAATTGTACTCCTTTTTTTTTTTTTATGTTGTTTCCATCCCCTGATGTATTACTTGATATGGTTTTTTGAAATCGTTTTTCAAGATCAACTTTGACATTGGGTGCTAACAATAAAGGTCAAGGCCAAATGTTTAGTCAACCAAGATACTCGTGCCCCCCCCCCCCCCCCCCCCCCCAAAGCCTTTTATATTATTGTGAAGTTTGAAGATGATCCATAAAAACTTGGGTGGGTTATATATGTTTTTGCTGATTTACATATTTTATGTGACCCTCGACCTGATTTTCACCAAAATTAAATCAGCTCGAGCTGTCCTTGGCATCTACCATCACAACATCATCACCATCAATTTGAAAATGATATCTTGAAAATTGTTAACACTACACTGCTAACAGACAAACAATTCCTTTGGGTAGGTGGATATTAGGGGTGCAACGATACACAAAATTCACGGTTCGGTTCGATACTTTGGTGTCACGGTTCGATATTTTTTCGATACAAAAAAAATGTTCATGCCTTTTTAATTTGTCATTTATTAAAATTATAAATATATATTTTAACTCAAAAGTACAGTTTTTAAATTTAACCCTAACCCTTGTGCGTGTTTTTTATTTTGACAGCGAATGCGCACCTGCGGACCACTTATGTGCAGCCCTGGTTATTTAGCTCGTCATATTGCAGCCACAGAAATTCTTTTGTCCATGAAACCATAAAGCTGCACTTTCTTTTTGCCTTATAGTCTGATTTGTCATAACTTCTCCGTTTTGTGGTAAGCTTTTCTTTGGCTGTCACTTCTTCACCCTGACCTGTCTTATTTGGCTCAGCAGAACTAAAATATATATCCTGCTGCTTTTACACATGGACTCACATAAGCTCAGCGATTCTCTGCGCGATCAACCTCTCACATGTTTAAGCTTGCTGCGGGAGATTTCACTTGTCATGTTTGCATAGTAAGCTAACGATTAATAAGACGATGTCAGAGGAATTGGTGCACAAATTATCATCACTCACAGATCAGTGCTGTCGCTCTCTATACACAGTTCGCACGATTGCAAAGTGAAAGCAAAAAAACAAGCGCAAATTCAAACGCAGTGGCTCACCGATGCCAATGACATAATTACCCAGCTACATTTCTGAAAGAATGCAAAAGCATTGACATATATTTTTCCTTCCTACAATAGCCCGACGGGCAGGGAAGAGATAGATTTTGGTAGCCCGTCTGAAAAAAATCGCTAGCCCCAGGACGTCGGGCTAGCGATTTTGCGAGCCCTGTATCTGATTGAGGAATCACTCATCTTTGGAAAAGAGAGTTTATTACAGAGAAATGTCTCTTTCCAAAATAAAAGCTATACTATCTGCTTCTTCTGGGCTATATTCTCAGCAGCATAAGGAGAATCATGTGCTAACAGCTGTCTAAATGACTCGGCTAAAGTTAGTAGCATGCTTGTTGTTTTTGTCTTTGCACTAGGATGATGTCGGCGTAAATGTGCAGTCATATTCATTGTGTTCCCACTAGTGCTTTCAGGTTAATCTCGTTGAAATGACCTTAACGCCACAACACGGCAAATCTCCGTTAACGAGCTACCGCCGATCGCCTCGTGCATGGGGCTAGACGGCCAACACGTTAACGAGCTAACTGCGCTAACACACTAGTTCACACCAATGTAATTGAGCATTGCATGGCACATCCAACATACTGTTTTACTTTAGTCCATGACTCGCTTACCTTCAGGGTCATACGTCACATGAAAACCAAAATAATTCCAAACGCCAGATCTGAATGAGAGTGGGGGAGGTCCATGTTGCAAGGAGAGCTTAACTTCTGTCTTGCTAGCTTGCCCTGCACTCTTCCTTCTGACTATGCTGTCTGTGTTGAGTGCTCAGTGGATCTGCGCTCGACAGTGCAGCCTAGGCGGAGTAGTCGAACGCAGATTCACTGAGCGCTCAACACAGACAGCATCGTCAGAAGGAAAGTTGATAAAATAAATTACAAATGTTGTATTGTTCGATACATATGCGTACCGAACCGAAAGCACTGTATCGAACGGTTCAATATCGATACGAATATCGTTGCACCCCTAGTGGATAACTATATACTGTTCAGAAATAGCGACTAGTTGTCTTTTGCAAGGTCAAGGTTTTTTTTTTTATTAGTGTGTTCTCAAAAATGTATTCATTCATTTCAAGACACCTTCAGTCACGACGCACCACAGAACACTACATGTGGCCATCAAACTGTATATCTCCTTATGACATGTGGACTAATTTCACAAAATCTCGCTGATACTTTACATAGTATTGTTTTAACTTTGGAATATTTCATTTTAATTAAACATTGCACTCTGAAGGTCTTTGAAAACGTTTCTTGTGTCATAAGAACAAACCCCTCTAAAACCCCACATTGTAAATTACACCACAACCTTTCCTGGAATTGTAAATGTATGTGTCTCGTCACACTCATGACACTGTGATTGGCCCATTTGGTGCTTTTGTTTCTTCTACACATTTCTGGTTACTTCCAGAATTGTGTAGTTCATGTTTTGTTGCAACTGACTGGGAGTGTATGAATCAACATAAAGAGAGAAACTCCCCACCAACAAGCATTTTGGTGGCAAAATTGCAGAGCAACACAGGCACACTAGAATAGACCTTTTGTTTTTCTCTTGAGCTGTGTGTCGGCCTACCTGCTGCAGAATCCTGGAGGTTTGGCCATACTTCGTTTGATGTTCTTTGATCAGACGGTCAGAGGCCTGAGAGACTCCTGGGTTTGGAAACCCAAACAGCGGGTAAACCTGAGAGATAAAAGAGAGAAATTAACATGCAATATACACACAGCTAACCCCAGCAATGTCTTTTACTTCTTACGTTTATGTTTACCTAAACTACATCTGGCTGAAGTGAGCCCCTGCTGTGGCATTATGTTTTACTTATGAAGATTAGTTCATCTTTAAAATGCGAAATTTGGAATACAGCATTCTAAACTATTGTGTAGAAATTACTGTGATGTAGTTTATTGTGTATATTTTGGTATGAAATAACTGAACTGAAAAGTGTGAAGCTACATTAGCTGTGTGTGTGTGTGTCTGTGGTTTTCATGGGGACCAAAAACTGGTAGTTTACTATACTACACTACAGGGAGTGCAGAATTATTAGGCAAATGAGTATTTTGTCCACATCATCCTCTCCATGCATGTTGTCTTACTCCAAGCTGTATAGGCTCGAAAGCCTACTACCAATTAAGCATATTAGGTGATGTGCATCTCTGTAATGAGAAGGGGTGTGGTCTAATGACATCAACACCCTATGTATATTTGTGAATGTGGAGATGTTATATTGGTTTCACTGGTAAAAATAAATAATTGAAATGGGTATATATTTGTTTTTTGTTGAGTTGCCTAATAATTATGCACAGTAATAGTCACCTGCACACACAGATATCCCCCTAAAATAGCTAAAACTAAAAACAAACTAAAAACTACTTCCAAAAACATTCAGCTTTGATATTAATGAGTTTTTTGGGTTCATTGAGAACATGGTTGTTGTTCAATAATAAAATTATTCCTCAAAAATACAACTTGCCTAATAATTATGCACTCCCTGTATACAGCCCTCGTTTGAAGGCATTTTTGAGACTCAAAATGTGGTTTTAGTGTCAGGGTTACAATTAGGTTAGGTTTAGGGGAAGGGTCAGGGTTAGGCAATCATTTTTGATGGTTAGGGTAAGCGGCTAGGGAAAGCATTATGTCAATGAGATGTCTCCACAAGGATATAAATACACACAGACGAGTGTGTGTGTGTGTGGGTGTGGGTGTGTGTGCATACCAAGTTCTGGCTGTTCTTGAACAGCTCCTTCCCATTCACTGAGCACAGCTTATCAGTCTTTAAACCAGAGTTATGCTCCACCACGTGGTCTTCCACATTGTTTTTCCTAAATACACACAATAACTATATTCATATATATGTACCAAATCACAACATCTTCAAGAAACCTTGAAGATGTTTCTTCGAGGTTAATTAAGAAACATAATTCAGCAATCCAGTGTTGGAACAGCTCAGTACTTGTACTCACCACTCCACTTTGAGCTCGATGTAGGTCAGCAGTTGGCGTTTTCCTTTACAGGTTTGACACTCCTTTTTCCCTCTGCCATTACACTTACTACAACTAAACACAAACATAGACGTGACACATTAACCTTTTGTTTTTCTTTTTGTGGTCACATCAATATCTTCTTTAGGCCCTAGTTGGTGGTTGTTCTAGGTGGTTGGCCACATAACCAGTATGCTGCTTTGCTGTATTTGATCACCAACAGTTGGTTTTCGCTGGCAGCAGTCTCAATGTTCTTGTTTCAGGTGTGACCACATATGGAAATTCCATATTGCATTTCAACAAACGGGCCTATCAAGGTTTTATTTCAGCAAGGTCCAGGTTTTGGAGGCGGTCTTCATACTAATGTTAGGCTGCTTCTTCTTCGCTTGGCCCATTCTGCTGTGGATGTAATCTGTGATCTGATTTTTGAACTATCAAATGAATGCGTTTAAATTCACTGCTTAATTGGGGCACCATTGAGATGAAAAGCAGCCGCCGATGCTCTGTGATGTTGATTTAGAGTCCATATGGCCCGGCAATGCAGGCATTGTCACAGAGGATGTCAGTCACCTCTGCATCGTCATTTGTATCGATAAGCTGTCATTAGCAAACATCAGTCTTGAATCATACATCCATGAACATACATCATCCAAATAATTCTTATTCCAAAACTCATTTCCTCAAGACTCAACTGTTCCTAAAGCCAAGCCTGAATCGAATAAGAGTTTTTAAATGTGAATTGAAATCAGCTTTGTAATAATCTAAAATCATCTTTGGGAGGTGCTTTTCTAGATTTACCTGGATTTACCTGGCAGGGAAGGGTTGGACCATTCTTGTTTCCTTAGATCAGATTTATTTATTTTTTTTAAATTCTAATATTTCTGTATTTCATTTATTATTTTCTGAGTATGTGTACGCTTATTCTGTTAATATTGCTGCTTATCTTCACATCCTCCAGAACATAATTTAACAGATTCCATCCTTCACGTCTTTTAAAATAAAATAAAAATATATATATTTTTTTTAAATCAAAATTGAGTTATTGCGGGATGCAGATAGAGGACACAGATGATTGTGGTGCGACTATCTCTGCTCATGTATTCATCAGGCAAGTCTGTAGTGCTAGATATCAAAAAGTCAGTTGTTGATTCTTTTGGTTTTATTGCTGGTTGCACTGCAGACAAGATGCAGCTGCTCTGCACACAGGAGCAGACTCTGCTTCAAGAATTGTTTTCGTGGTTGTGTGTGTGGGGGGGACCAGTGCTAATGTCACGTCCACTTGTGCTTTCACAGCTTTGTTGTACTCAACAAACATCTTGTTTCCACTTTTAGCAGGAACAGTTTTTCTTGAATATTTTGAAAAGTGTGGTGTTTTGCTGTTGGTCTGCCCTCTTGTAGCTCCCTTTTTAGGTATGAAGTCATCATTTGAGGCTGACACACTGCTCTCATTCTCAGAAATGTCTGTAATTATCTTGTTGTGGAGTACGCTAGGCCAAGTAGTATCATTGATATTGATATTCTTGCTTTCTTAATCACGTATAAATTTATACACTTATTATTGCAGATAGGAAAATATGGCTCAACCTTAACAGAAACTCAGCATCCCTGTTTTATCTATAGTCACAGTTATTTATATCACCTAAATTTTAAAAAGAGAAGAAAAAAGAATGGAAGTCTGGTTATGATTGCACTTGAATGCCGAATGAATGAACGGCTAACTAGATATATTATTAATGGTTTGCATGCATAAACAGAAAACCTGGCTGTTTTGGTCCCTTTTTAAAAAAATCTCCAGTTTACTGCATTGGATTGATTTGCTCTAAAAACATGTACTCATATTCTGAAGTAATAATTGCCTTTTTATTTATGGTAATGTTGTATGCATAGTTTTGTTCTGAAAAAAATAGTACCTTTCTTTGCCTGTGCCATTGCAGTGACTGCAGGCCGCATCCAACTTCACTCCAGTGCCATCACACACCCAGCAAGCTTTCTACAAAGACACAAATAAGCATTTTTTTAACATTACCACCAGATTTCTCCTGTCAGCAATTATTATGCATTGTTGAGAATTTTCTTACTTTTCCACATCCATTGCACTCAGTGCATTGCTCTACACCTGTTGCATGGCAGGTGTTGCATTCCTAAAAACACACACACACAAAAAAGTTAATAATAAGATTATTGTCACACTGACAGACACTTCTCCTTAGATCCTTAGAACCTTCCCACACATTCCATGTTAACAGCTTAACTTCTAATCAGAGATCAAGCTAAATCAAAACTGCAAATAAAGTTGTGGTAGGAGTTTGCATGTGCTCAGAAAAAGGTTTTTATAGTCAAATGAGAAAAGAAAAAGAGCTATGTGGCCACAATGACAAGAAGTATGTTTGGATTAGTAAAGGTGAGGCATTCAAACCTAAATGTACCAGCTGTTAAAGATGGTGGACGTAGCAAATTCTTCAAATTCATCTCAAAACAACAGCTACATGATTGAAATGCTGAGCGCTCCAGCAGGACAATGATCCCTAACACACATCGTTGTTCTGTTGATTTAGCCTTGGGGTTCTACACTGCCGGAAAAAAAAAAAGATTGTTTATTAATCCTCACCTTTGACTCTGCATTTGGGTCATTTTCACATACAATCATGACACTACTGAAATGTCTTGAAGAACTGCTGTATTGAGAACCCTTGAACACTATCGGTAACCCAAGAAACAACCTCCGGTCCTTTCAAGACCCTGTCAAACCCATGGAACATTTTCAGATTTGACAGCTTTAATTCACAAAGGGCTGCTTACAACTTTTCAAGGTTCCCTGCCAGCTTTACTGTGCCTATATATCCAACCATTACTTGAGTCAGCTCAATGCATTTAAAAAAAAAAAAAAAAAAAAAAAAAGCTCTAGAAAAATCCCATGGACAACTAGCAACCCAATGAAACCTTTGGAGCATGATAATTCCTTAAGTTCATGTAAGGACCACTGAAATCTATTCCTTAGACCATAAAAACGTTTTCAAAGCTACTGTGGTACTTAATACATGTCCAGTGATTGGGGGGGGGAATTCGATTTACATAATGAAAGTTGTGTCAGCCCTCTTAAAGCTAAAACCAGCACTTTGATAGATAGCTTCTGTTATTCAGTCACCTTGACAGAGGATGTGAATGGCACCCGGATCTTCACTTTATGGTCACTGAAGAGATTGGGGGGCGTGGCCTGGACCTCCCACGGTTGTGGAGCAGGTTGGGTGTAAAAGTCAGCAGGCTCACCTATTAATTATACAAGAGCTCACAGCAAGTGACAGTAAAAAACAAACAAACTGATGTTTAGGTAAGGATTAGGCAACGATGTCCAAAAGAGGAATTCGTTGTAATGAAAGCAGAAGCAAGTGTGTTTCTCCAGTGTTGAATTGACACTAGAAAGTGTCTATATGGGTCCACTCTTTTGAGTGTTAAACATTTTTGACAGTGTTATATTTTTAACAGTAACCTAGTCCGTTTTAAAGATTAACAATGACGTTGAGCAGTGCTGATTTCCTAACACTGGACTATTACTAGCATTTTGAGTTATTTTCCAGTGTTGGAAAATCAGCACTGCTCAGTGTTAGTCATTGCTAACCTTTAAAACTGACTAGGTTACTGTTAAAACTATCACACTGTCAAAAATGTTCATTTAATACTCAAAAGAGTGGACCTATATAGACACTTTCTAGTGTCAATTCAACACTGGAGATTTTGCAGTGGCATTTTTCCATGTAGTTTCTGTTATGGTCCTGGGTCTGTTAGAAAGTGACTTTGAGGTTTTTTTTTTAGTAAATCTTGGTATTGTTTGGAATTATATTCATGTATCTGTTCCCCATAGTGGAACAGTTGTGGTATTTAGTTTCTTTCCCTTGTTCAGTTTTCTGTGATTAGTTTGTTTTTGTATCTCCCTCTCGTTTCCTCTTCCCTTGTTATCTTGTGTATTTATCATTTAGTCGCCCCACTAGCTGTGATTTTCCCCATGTTTCCTTTTTAGTTCAGGGATTTTTTTTTACCCGTTTCTCGACTGCCTGTAAATTGTTCTGGACTGAATAAAATGAAAATGTGTTTTTACCTTCATATGGTTTCTGGGCCCACTCAGTTGACCTGGACTCAGTGAACGTCTCTAGACGGTACTAAGGAACAGAAAACTGACTTTACCAAGAGAAACTGGATGTGATGATAAGATTCCCCTGTCAACGTACAACGAACTTTGTGAGCCTTCAGTCTGTTTCTGGATCAGGAAAGAGTTGTATTAATGCACATGTAGATTAAAAAAAAAACAAAAGGGAAACAAGTTAGGGCGAAAATATTTTATAACAAAAAAATATTATGAATGGTTGTCGTTAGCATAAAACTGTAGGTAGAAATAACTGATGTTAGCTTACTAGTAACAGCGTGGTGTGCATTACTGCATAACAAATCCTGCTGTAAGACTAATCTACAGTGTAGTTTTCGACCACGTGCAACAGCCCTGAAGATTTGTAATGAAATAAACTATCCAACCCACAAAACTGCACAATTATTTGCTGCCATGGGGTTGGCAAACTACTGCTTCAGTAGGTTTGGACACTTACTTAAAGCCCTCAGGTTTCTGAGAAAAAAAAAATCATTACACATGTTAATTTTTCAACAGTTCATTATCATTCAATTATGTCCTTTGGTCAAATATTTGGAAAAAACATTTAAACTGAATAAAAGCAGTTCAAACCAGACGTCTTTAGTAGACTGATCAAGATAGTAAAGGCAGATATGGAGGTAACTCAGTCCGCAGCATCACTGATGCTGACAGCATTATAAATAGGGAACATTTAATCACCCTAAATGTGTTGAATGGCTCCATGGAGGTGATGACTCCCTGAGTGACCGGAGCGTCACTGTAGCAGCAATGAGACGACACAAATTCCTTGAATGCCTTACGAGCCTCATCCTCAGAAAGAGAGGGGATGCTACAAATCACATAAACTTTGTGTTAAACCAGAAAATTCTACTGGTTGGTGAGCAGCTCAGAAACACAGGTAATATGTCGTACCTCCATTCAGGATTTTCAGGGGCAGGTTGGGGTGGGGCTACTGGCTCCGTGGGCATGGGAGGGGGCAGGAAACCTCCTGCATCAATGACAAATTTTCAAGTACAAGCAACAGGATTAATGTGAGGAATTATGTGAACCGGGCTTTTCTTACCTCCTCCTGGCACAGTGCCTTCATAGCCTGGGACATTGCCAAACATGTTGGCTTGGGGTGCCATGACAGGTGGATACATAGCTGGAATGAAAAACAAGAAACAAAAAATTCAAACCAATCTTCTGGGTGAAATTAAAACTAGTCATGTCTCCAGCTTTCCATGTTTACTTTTTGATGCAAACCAAAGCTCTGACCAGGCAGCTTAGGAGGTCTGACATTTTGTCTTGGCAAGAAACTGATTCCACTCTCTAGTTGGTGGCTGGTTAGCTTGGGATAAATACTGAAAGGGAAACAGCTATTCCAAATCTATTCAAAGTTAAAAAAAAAATATATATATATATTTCCGAGGAACTTATTAATTAGCACGTAATATCTTTGTGGTAGTGTGGTGTGGTTTCTTCTCAACAGCTAAAGAAAGGTAAGACGGAATAGGTTTAGGGAGAGAAAGTTAACTGGTATAGCCTGGCTTATCAACCAGCACCTTTTTATCCAGTTAGGATAGGATGTTAGGACCTCGAAGTCTCATGAATACCTGATGAATATAGTGGTGGCTCATGAGGTAGAGCATGTCATAGACTAATCGGAAGGTTGGTGATTCGATCAGTGATTCGAGCTCCAGTGCTCACGCCAAATATCCTTGCGCTACTAAACCCAGGTTTGTGTCCGATGTATCCACTGGAGCATGAACATGTGTAAATTTTAGATAGAAAGCACCTCCGGGTGTGAATGGGTGAATGAGGAAAGTTTTACAAAGTGCTCAGGTAGAGTAGAAAAGCGCTAGGAACCAGCCTATTTACCATGAATACAGTGCCCAGGACACAACTGCACCCACATGTGCTTTGCAATTTAGAGGCATGCAGAGCGTTTATTGGTCAGTTATATCTTTTGTATAAGTACAGTGAAAATACACACTGTGGTACTGTACTCTACTGTGAGATCTCTCTCTGTCTCTCTGCTGGGAAGTGAAATCACTGCTATAACTGGGTTTCTTTAAGTTGTACAAAAATAACATTTTAAATAAAATTTGAATTTTATTTCTAGGCTGGACTAGCTTATCTGAAAGACCTTAAAGTACGGTATCACCCCATTACACCACTTGCGCTCAGACTTCAGGTTTACTTGTGGTTCCTAGAATATTTAAAAGTAGAATGACAGGCAGAGACTTCAGCTTTCAGGCCCCTCTCCTGTGGAACCAGCGCCCAGTTTGCATTCCAGAGACAGACACTATCTCTACTTTTAAGATTGGGCTTAAAATGATTCTTTTTGATAAAGCATATAGTTGGAGCTGAATCGGGGGACCCTGAAACATCCCTTAGTTATGCTGTAAAAGGTCGAGGCTGCTGGGGGATTCCCATGATACACTGAGTGTTTCTTCTTCTCTCACCACAGGTTCTCGTTTTTACTCATGACCTTTCATGACAATTAAACTAATGACTTTAAACCAGAGAACCAGAGAACCTCACAAGATTTTCCCTCCACTTCCATTTTGTTTACAATAAGCTACCACATTTTTAAATTCAAAATCACTGACATCTGTCTCTGTGTCTCCCTTTCTCTCGCTCTGCGTCTTAGTTGTGTCTCTTTTTTGTCTCCCTTACTTCTTCCCATGTTCTTCTATTTGTTTCATCCTTGTCTCTTCAGCCTGTCGTGTGTTCCTGGGTTTGCTTATCTCTATGCCAATGTCAAGCTTGCGTGTTTTTCATTTAGTTAATTGTTATTTCATGTGCACTGTGTCCAGCTTTGCATCCCGTTTTGTTCTAATTTGTTCCTGCTATGTAATTATGTGTTTCCACTTCCCTTATCACCCATCAGTGTATATATATATTATCTCTGGCTTCCTATGTCATTTGTCGGAGTGTCTGTTTTCCCACCCAGTGTCCTCCAGTGTCCCCTCCCTGAGCCCAGTGCATGCTCCTGGGAGGTCATCTGATTGTGGAGTTTTCTCTGTACTACTCTTGCAGCTGTTCTAGCATCTCAAAAAAGAATGAGTATGTTAACCTGACACCCAAGCAATTACCGAGGAAGGACTGGGCTCAGTAGTTGAAGAAAAAAAAAAAAACCAGACACAAAAAACTGAAATTAGCGAAACAACTTGATTGTAAAAATGTAAACAAAAAATCCTGTTGCTTATTGCCCAAATTGCACTATGTACAAAACAGAAAGTTCCTGTTAATTCGGATTTTTTATTTTATTTTTTTCAATTTCACTTAATTTCTGTCGCTACTACAAAGGCGAACATCTGCATTAAATTCTTCAGGAAATAAGGTTCAGATGGGTTAATGAGTTTCATCTGGAGTTTACTGTCCGAAAGAGAAAACAACTGAAACTCCTTAAAAAACAAAAAACAGAAATAGATTAAAGCAGCAAATATATTCAGTTTAGTGAATGCTGAGGTTTAACGTGATTCTGACTTCTTAATCTTCTCGCACTGAATGTGTTTATAGAGGAAACAGCGTTTCAGTCCTGTCAAAGTATTTTTCTTTCACAAAAGTACTTTTTTCTCCTGCACAACTGTAAGCAAATAGAGAAAAAATGCACACGTTGGACTAAGAAATTTCAAGAGTCTAAGAATGCAGATTGTAATCGAAACACATTTACGAAGGTGGACTATCAGAAGCCGAGCTTGCGCGTTTAATGGCCCGGAGGCGTTTGGTGGTCGGTTTCGTGATAGTTCCTAAAGTCTGCCGTCCTGTGTTTCAATTCTTACCTGCGCTGTTCATTCTGCTGCAGATCAATCACGCTGTTATCAGCAGATTTTTATTGATCCGTTATAATCTCTCTGAGTTTTAGTAGTTATCCCCCGTTTCCCCTCCGTCGGGAGCGCGCAATAGTGATGGGTCGTTCGCGAACGAAATGGCTCTTAGAGCCGACTCTTTGACGTGAACGACGCGAGCCGGCTCCTTATCGCGAGCCGTCACGTGGGTTTTTTTTTTTTTTTTTTTTTTTCTCTCAGCCTCTCTCTCGCACTTTTTTTCCGCTTCACTCTGCACGCGAGCCTTGTGCTTTACGCTGGGCAGAGGGGGGAGGGGCTGTAGTTACACTCAGTAGCACAGGAACAGAGCCAGAGAGAGAGAAAGAGAGGCAGGGACAACAACATTAGAAAGGTATAGTAATCATCCACAACTATTTTCAGTTGCAGATGATAAAGGATTGAGAAAGTTTATTCATGCAGGTCCATATGACAGAGAATATGCATGTTCTTTTAGTTTTCATATTATAATTTATATTTAATTGTGTTGTGGTTTGCAGTGTTTTGTGTTCTTTTCACTTTAAATTTGTGAAAGGAAAAAGCTGAAAATTTAAATGGTTAAAAGTTGAAATGTGAATAGTTGATTTTTGTATTATATGATTTATTTATTACATTTTATGTGGAGTGAATAAATAAAAGTATATTTACGGTGGCCCCTAGAGACAAAGCACATACAAACTTCAAATCACGTACGAACTCTGAAGCATGTACAAACTCCAAAACACGTAAAAACACGTACAAACTCCAAAACACGTAAAAACTCCAAAACACGTAAAAACACGTACAAACTCCGAAGCACATAAAAACTCAGAAGCATATAAAAACTCAAAACACGTACAAAAGACAACAGAAGTGCTCCAGGATGCTGGGCGCAGTATTGAGCCTTTGTTATCTTGTGGCTACACAAGCCAGCAAGTACCAACGACCGGATTTGGTGTGTGGTAATAACAGGTAAATGAACTTTTTTTTAAATTATTTGAATATATATATGAGTGCCTGTGTATAAATACACAAACAATACACACATGCTTTCAATTGTGTAATTTAAGTGATCTAGTAGCTCTGCTTTGGAAGTTCAGTTCATGCTAGAAATGTGTTTTGGAGTTTGTACGTGTTTTGTCTCTAGGGGCCACCGCATATATTTATATATAAACATATATAAATAAAACCACTTGTTTTTATGTTAGTAATTCCTTTTGTGCATAATTTTATATTATTGTTAATAATAAATTAATTAAAGCAACAAAACAACCTGAAGATCCGGTTCGGAGCCGAAAGAGCCGGCTCTTTTTAGTGAGTCGAACCGAAAGAGCCGGCTCTCTAAAAAGAGCCGGAAATCCCATCACTAGCGCGCAATGAGCACGGATAGCGGATCTAGTTGTAGAAAACGTGGACGACGCCCAAAACATGAAGCCAAAACGTCCCTATCGCCCCCTGGTGTCTGGCTGCAGTATGGGTCATAAACCCCGCCTCCTCCATGTTAGCGGATGGGACTGAGGTCAGACTAAAATAAATTAATTCTCCTCAGATACATTTTTTCCAAAGATTCTTTCTTTTGTTATCAATAATTCTCATCACGCTGATTTATGTCCAAGGGGTCTCCTTTCCCATAAGTTTGATTCAAATTCCTACCACGGTGATGTTAAATTGGGGCGTAACGTCATCATAACAGCTTTGACTGGCAGCTGCAGTCACGGAGAGACTTGTATATCTCTGTTCGGGAATAGCAGATAGAGCGTAGGAGAGAGAGGGCCAGCGTTTACGTTACAAAACCACGACCGACTGTTTTAACTTGACAGCTATGGCGTTATTTTTGTGCCACTATTCTGAGCGCACGTAAAAAAAAATTAAGCGCCTGCAATTTTTTTAAGTGCGCTCAGAATAGTGGCAGAAAAATAACGCCATGGACAGCCTGAGGTGTTCTTCAGTAAACTGGACTACCCGACAAAAGGACCCGAGGCCCCGGTGCACTTTTTCGGTAAGTTAAACGTGTTTATAAGCTAATCCATTAATACCGTCCTTAGCTAGGTCCTGAGACCTAGCTAGCTAAGATGAGCACTCGGTTGTCGGGGAAACTTGTTTTGAAAAGTTCGTTTAGCTAATCCGTGCAGGTGAATGAATTTACCCTGACTAAAGAAATCAAGAGAAACGCCCCAGGTTGCTCAGTCACTAATTACCGTTAGTGTACTTTTATTACAAGCATTATACTGTAAATGCAACAGGCTGCATTCTGCTTCAGCTCCTGTGCAGAACTTTGAGAAATAAACTTTATATTTCAGTTTGTGATGATTCTGTTCTCGTTGTGATTACAGGAGCTGCCCTCAGATTCAGACCTCAGCACCAACCAGTGACAGCAGACAGATCATCCAGCATGTTCACATGTTAACTGCAAAATTAACTGATGAAAACAGTACAAAGGTTAAAGTACCACATGTGCTGTCAGTGAAAGCTGCAGCTGTTTTAAAGTTAAAGACAAAAAGTCAAAAGGATTACTCACCCCTGTAACTGTGTCACTATATATATCAGCATTAACAGGACCGGTTTGGTGTTTCAGAGAGCTGCTGATCTCAGACCTGCACAGCTTCCGTTTTAAACACTTGATGTACTCAGCTACATGAAGAACATATTTGATTTTCTCTGACATGATTAAATAAAACCTGATGAAGGTCAAAGGTCACCACTTGTATGTCGAACTACAAACTTGTGATCTGGAATTCTTTCACAGTTTTTTGCAGATAGTGTGTTATTCACCATAAAGTAATTCAGAGTTATTCATACTAGAGTACCCAGAGAGGATAATATATTTTTAAATGTGTAACGTTCTACAGGACTGAATATAATATCTTTATGTAAAAGCCCGGACCCACTGGGGAGTATCCGAGTATTTATAACATTACACAAACCAAAGGTCTCCATCAAAGAGTTCATAAAATGCTGGGTGTATCCATCTTCTGGGGTGGGCCTGCGGTGGAGCTCTGAGAGAACTGCTGGTGGAGATCATGAGTCCTGCTTGATCAATGCCATGAGCTTCAGTCTTCCTGGTGTTTCTTAATTGAAGTCTCTCAGTGGGTCAACAGAACATCTGGCACAGGACAGCTGTGATGAAAGAACAGGAAAAAGTTTCTCCAAACCTCTGGACCCAGGAAACCCAGCTTAGTCCTTATGGTCTCCCTCATTAGTTTCTCCCCAGGATGAATGTAGCTGTTGATACAATATGGATTCTATAATTAGACTACACTACTGAAACCTGCTGCTGTTTTTAAAGTTTACACATACACAGTAGACGGCTCTGAATATTTAAACCGTTTAAAATCCATTACACTCACAGTCTTAAATGTTAAAATCAAAGAACAGAGTATTAGACTAATAGAGTAACAGGTGTGTAGCAGTTAATTTGTTTGCTAGATTAGCCGCTAGCATACGCACTGTGTTGGAGGCTTGTTGCTAGCTAGTTAGCGATGCTACACACCTGTTACGCTAATAGTCTGTATTATTGAAGGATTCGGCACTCCTTATGTTTGTTTGTTTTTTTATCCATTTTTGGACAGCGATGAGATCATCTGCACACTCCACAGAGGCCCAGAGTTACTTTTAATATCAAAAATATAATGCTGTCCTTTGAAATTTTAACATAAGACTGTGAGTGTAATGGATCTGAAACGGTTTAAATATTCAGAGCCCTCTACAGCCTGGTAACATGGAAACTTTAAAAACATCAGCAGAACGTTTCAGTGGTGTATTCTAATTTGTTCTTTTCATTTAATAATAGAGTCCGTATTATATCAACAGCTAAGAGAAACTAACAAAAACACACAGACATGCTGAAAACAGGAAAGGAGATATAGCTGAATGAGAAGAAAGGGCACAACTAAATGGGAAAAACAGAATATCATTTGGAGAAAGCAGACACAGGGACATGACTTAGAAACAGAAAGTTATCACAAAGGAAGATAACTAGATATTACATAAACCAGGGGTGGGGAACTCCAGGCCTCAAGGGCTGATGTCCTGCAGGTTTTAGATATGACACTGGGTCAACACACCTGAATCAAATGATTATTTCATTAAGTCCTCTGGAGCACTTCAAGACATGTTTAGGAAGTAACTTAGTCATTTAAATCAGTTGTGTTGGATCAAGGACACATTTAAAACCTGCAGGACACCGGCCCTTGAGGCCTGGAGTTCTCCCACCCCTGACATAAATAAACACTCCAATATAAACAGAGACAGAGGCTATAATAAACCCTAAAGGAAACTATCATGCTCAAAAATACAATGAATCACAATACCCCAAATTCACAAAGAAATTGTAAAATAGGATTCTAATGTTATAAAACCATAAAAATGTGTGACGTGTTCTTACTACAACCCTTTAAAACTAAAAGATTCGTAGGGCTCAGTTGTCCAAGGCACTGAGCTACAGGGGAGCTGCTGGGCCTGCAAGTCTACTCACACTTTGGTGTGTATCAGAGGAAGTAGCCCTATTGGGCTTTTGAGGCAGTTACAACTGGGGAAAGTCCCCTCACACATCGGCTTCATCTAAGCTCTGCACTGACTGATAGGATCAGGGTTTAGGACTTTTTAAACAGACAGCCAATCCAGACTTCCAGAATTGGGGGGATCAACACCACCAAGGAAAGTGGTTTTTGCCTTTAAGCCCAATAAAGGCAAAAAAAAAAGAGTTGCAGTGGCTGGAGGTGAAACTTTGCAGACATGTAGTGTGAGTTGCAGGGAAGAAGAATTTGTGGAGAATTTCCTGTCAACTATCAATAATTATTTTATTTTGTAATTTTTGTTGATTAAAATAACCTTGTTGAATTTGAGTAGAAATATTTGCTGGAATCTTGCAGCATTTTGTGATGAAAGTTGGCACACATGTAGAGAAGGTAACCCAGAGAAGTATTCAACTGACAATTTCATGTCAACGATCAGAGATGATTTTTAATAAAAATTTTATGTAGTGTTATATTCCATTGAGCATGCTGAATTTGACCAGAAATATTCTTCTCTAGATTTATGCAGTGGAATGAGATGCACACAAATTTAGCCCAGGTTTCCAAAAAAGAGGAATCCATTGAGAAAGTCATGTCAATTGTCAAGCATGATTTTTAATGAATTTTTCAATATGACGCAGTTTTTAGGCACAGAACAACAAGCGCTGTGTTAAATTGGTTGCGATACACAAATGGCTCTACCGTGTCAAGAAACGTGTGATGGCTTGGAAGTGAGAGGGTTTGGTTTTTGGCACCTTGAGTGTTCAGTTGTGAGAAGCCGAGATTAAAATTGGAGTAAAATATTGGGATCTCTCGTGTCATCCTTTGATACCTCCACAGTATAGTGTTTTTATTTTTTATTTTATTTATTTTTATTTTAAGAAAATGTTGAACAGAATACTAGATACTGTTATTTTTTTAAACACAGGTATGGTTTGCTTTTCTTACCCTAATAAATGAAATCCTCATGATATATGGAAGAAGGAAGACTGATGTTAAAAAAAGAGAAGAATGAGTACATGTTTAATTGCTTTCAGCTGTGTGCATTTGTCAGTCTACAGCAGGGGTGTCAAACTCCAGGCCTCGAGGGTCAGTGTCCTGCAGGTTTTAGATCTCACCCTGGGTCAACACACCTGAATCAAATGATTAGTTCATTACCAGACCTCTGGAGAACTTCAACACATGTTGAAGAGGTAATTTAGCCTTTAAATCAGCTGTGTTGGATCAAGGACTCACTAAAACTTGCAGGACACCAGACACCTGTGGTCTACAGGATGACGCAGCAGCAGGTCTCTGGGTAGTCATCAGCACTGGCTTTGCGCTCGTTGCCGTACACGTAGTAGACGTAGCTCTTGTCTTTCCACTTGTAGTTCACCTGAGTGATGGGGATCAGCTCGACCGCCTGCCTCTGAAAGAGAGAGAGATGGGGATTCATATTAAAGGAAAACTTTCAACAGCATCAGAGGGGGTCAGCTTGAGTCAGAATACTTTAGCTTAGCATTGACTTCAAACCTTTATGTCCTTTTCTTTAACAAAAATTCCAACAATTAATTCCCCTTTTGAGTGTTTATGTAACAGCTAACTCTTCAACCACCATCAAATCATTCAAGATGGCTTTAGTTATCTTTATAGGTCACCTTATCCCTCGAGCTTCTGTAGCAGTTGATAACTTTAGTAATTGAACAGTCTATTGATTTTTCTATTGACTAACTGAGGAATCAGTTAAGTTAAATAATTTGCAGAGCAAAGCAATAAATTGCAGATTAACACAGGCACACCAGCACAGGCTGGCCACTGGGGGTGACTACACTATAGCCTATAGACTCAAAACAGAAGTCTAAAGTAAACTTTGCACGTTTTCCTTGCTGCTTCAACTACAAATAATGGAATTTCAGCTCGAATCAATTATATTTCAACTAGAATTAGCTGCTGATGGAACAAGGATAGCTGTTTTCTTTCCCTCCACTACTGGAGAAGATTGTTCCTAATTTCTCTCTTGAGCTGTGTGTCGGCCTACCTGCTGCAGAATCCTGGAGGTTTTGCCATACTTAGTTTGATGTTCTTTGATCAGACGCTCAGAAGCCTGAGAGACTGCTTGCGGTTTAAACCCAAGCAGTGGGTAGACCTGAGAGAAGCAAGAGTTTAATTCACAATATTCACACCGCTAACCCCAGCAATGTGTTTTCCTTCTCCCCAACCTTTCCTTTACATTTATCTCAACTACACCTGCCTGAGGTGAGTTCCTGCAGTGGCTTTATGTTTAATTTATGGAGATTATTTCAACATTTCAAACATAGAATACAACATTCCAAACTACTGTGTGAAACTACTGAGATGTAGTTTTTTTTGTATGAAATTTTGGTATTAGGATTCAAAGTGAAGCTACATTGTGTGTGTGTGTGTGTGTGTGTGTGTGTGTTTACCAGGTTCTGGCTGCTCTTGAACAGCTCTTTCCCTTTTACTGAGCGCAGCTTATCACTCTTCAGACCACAGCTCTGCTCCACCAGATGATCTTCCACATGGTTTTTCCTAAACACAAACACACAGATATGAACTATATTCATGCTGTATCCATCAAATATATAATACTGATGTAACACACACTCTACAGGGTGGGCCATTTATATGGATACACTGTAATAACATGGGAATGGTTGGTGATATTAAAGTCCTGTTTGTGGCACATTAGTATATGTGAGGGGGCAAACTCCTCAAGATGGGTGGTGACCATGGTGGTTATTTAGAAGTCGGCCATCTTGGATACAACTTTTGTTTTTTTCAATAGGAAGAGGGCCATGTGACACATCAAACTTATTGGTAATGTCACAAGAAAAACAATGGTGTGCTTGGTTTCAACGTAACTTTATTCGTTCATGAGTTATTTACAAGTTTCTGACCACTTATAAAATGTGTTCAGTGTGCTGCCCATTGTGTTGGATTGTCAATGCAACCCTCTTCTCCCACTCTTCACACACTGATAGCAACACCGCAGGAGAAATGCCAGCACAGGCATCCAGTATCCGTAGTTTCAGGTGCTGCACATCTCGTATCTTCACATCATAGACAATTGCCTTCAGATGACCCCAAAGAGAAAAGTCTAACGGGGTCAGATCGGGAGACCTTGGGGGCCATTCAACTGGCCCACGACGACCAATCCACTTTACAGGAAACTGTTCATCTAGGAATGCTCGGACCTGGCACCCATAATGTGGTGGTGCACCATCTTGCTGAAAAAACTCAGGGAACGTGCCTGCTTCAGTGCATAAAGAGGGAAACGCATCATCATGTAGCAATTTCAAATATCCAGTGGCCTTGAGGTTTGCATCCTCGCCTCTGTCAGTGCGCCCCTGGGCAGCTGTGGCTACAATGTAGCTTGCCATTGCCAGTGTGTGAATCGGTGTGTGAATGGGTGAATGACTGAATGTAGTGTAAAGCGCTTTGGGGTCCTTAGGGACAGAGTAAAGCGCTATACAAATACAGGCCATTTACCATTTGCATTGATGAAGAATGGACCCACTATCGTTGTACCCCATATACCACACCAAACCATCACTTGTTGCTCCAACAGTCTTGGAGGGATCCATCCAATGTGGGTTAGTGTCAGACCAATAGCGGTGGTTTTGTTTGTTAACTTCGCCATTCACATAAAAGTTTGCCTCATCACTGAACAAAATCTTCTGCGTGAACTGAGGGTCCTGTTCCAATTTTTGTTTTGCGCATCCTGCAAATTCTGTGCGCCGATCTGGGTCATCCTCGTTGAGATGGTGCAGTAGCTGGAGTTTGTAAGGATGCCATGAGTGAGTAGCTAATATCCGCCGAAGGGATGTTTGACTAATGCCACTCTCCAGTGACATGCAGCGAGTGCTACGCTGTGGGCTCTTGCTGAATGAAGCTAGGACAGCCACTGATGTTTCTTCATTAGTGACAGTTTTCTTGCGTCCACATTTTGGCAAATCCAACACTGAACCAGTTTCACGAAACTTAGCAAGCAGTTTGCTAACTGTAGCATGGGAGATGGGGGGGTCTCATAGGGTGTCTTGCATTGAAATCTGCTGCAATGACCCGATTAACTGCGTTCACCAGACAGCAACATAATTTCGATCCACTCCTCACGTGTTAACCTCTTCGACATGTCAATGTCATGGCTGTGTGCGGGCAGGCAGGGAGATAGGACCCAAAATGCAGGACTCGGAGGCAGACGTGAAATCAAAATACACAGCTTTATTGCTGGAGCAATGGAACAGAAACTAAACTGAGTACAAACTAATACAAAAATTAATTGGCTGGCTGGCTGGCAGATAACGTGAGGGTACGACGCAACAGAGAACACAGGAAAACACAGTGCTTATATACGCAAGGCGGTAATCAGGGAATGGGTAACAGGAGGGAGACACAGCTGGGAGAAATAAGACTAATGAGACAGGGGAGCAGTAAAACTGAACACACTGACAACATACTGGGACAATCAAAATAAAACAGGAAACATGAAACAAATCACAAAGACGCAGACTTGACACTAAGAGGCAGACAGAAAGAATATAACACATGGAACTCAAACAATATTAAACATGAGACACCACCGAAGAACTAATCCCTCACCAAGAATAAGACATATTTATAATCATGATCAAAGCACCAGAGAATAAGAAAATAATCCATAATGTAAAAATAAACCAAAACATAAGAAATTCAAAATGCTGGGTCGAAACGACCCAGAACCATGACAGTCAATGGCTGTGAACAAAGAGAAACTTGTAAATAACTGATGAAAGAATAAAGTTACGTTGAAACCAAGCACACCATTGTTTTTCTTGTGACATTACCAATAAGTTTGATGTGTCACATGGCCCTCTTCCTATTGAAAAAACAAAAGTTGTATCCAAGATGGCCGACTTCTAAATAACCACCGTGGTCACCACCCATCTTGAGGAGTTTTCCCCCTCACATATACTAATGTGCCACAAACAGGACTTTAATATCACCAACCATTCCCATGTTATTACGGTGTATCCATATAAATGGCCCACAATGTAGATTCTGATGAATACAACGTTCCATCCATCCATCCATTCGCTTCCGCTTATCCTTTTCAGGGTCGCGGGGGGCGCTGGAGCCCATCCCAGCTGAATACAACGTTACATGATTTAATACATTTTAAGCTTTAAACAATTAACAGTTTCTACTGCTTTCAATTTAAACTAGCAGCATGTAATTTTGATCTATATTGACTAGAGGGCACCAAAGCATCTGTCAAACCACCATTAATTCTCTTCCGCTTATTTCTAAAGAACTCATATCTCAGATGAGAGGTGAAACGTCTTTTCTTTAGACTATGATGACATGGATGACCAAGAACCTTCACAATCATATCTCTTCTGCTTGTTCTTATCAGGGTTGCATCGGAGCTTGAGCCTATTCAGGCTACCATAGGTGTAGAGGCGGGGTACACCTTGGACAGACTGCTAGTCTGTCACAGGGTTAACACAGAGAGACAACCGTTCACACCCAAGGGCAATTTATAATCACCAGTTAATCTAACCCCAATCCTTGGATGTGGGAGGAGGCCCGAGTACTAGAGCAGGGCGATATGACCAAAAATATTTATCACAATATACATTTGAAAATTTGCGATAACGATATAACTGACGATATAATTGACACTAGACAAAACACTTTACAACTCCACAACTTTATTAGTTGCTGACAGTTTAACCAAAAGGCATTTCCAGTGGAAATTGGCTGACATATCATAGGCATAACCATGTATAATATCCACAAAACTTAAAAAGAGGTTATACACACATAATACGGTAATATTATGTTGAAGCACAGTACGTATCACTCCACGAGGCGCCTGCCTGCGATAGCCGTGTGGGTTCGTAGCTTAGTCATACCGAAACATTTGACAGATTTTCGAGCGCCGTGTACCACATAAAATCGTTTCGAGGTCAGTGAACACAACCAGAATTCATACATAAGGCACACAGGATTATAAGGGGCACTGTCGACTTTCAGACAAATCAAAGGATTGATTTTAAGTGTGCCATATTTTCCAAAAAACACGGTAATAACGACGGCCCGCTAGCATGGTCTACCAAAAATAGTGCTTTGTTGTGTATCTGACGGACGAAAGCTAACCCAGTTCCACATCACTGATGCTGCAGCATTTTTACAAACCAGTTCTGGTTCATCTGTTTTATTCAACGATCCGCTTTCGCCCTTCTCATTCTTCGTCGCCGCCATGCTTTTTCCGCCATGTGCGTATGAAAACAAAGGCACTGCGCATGCGCGTTTTACCCATATTCTATTGCGATATTTCATTTTCTTATCGTTGCCCAACATTATACTGGTATTACCGTGAACAGTATGATATGGTCCGGCCCTACCGAGTACCCACAGAGAACATTCACACTCCCTGACCAGATGGTGGAGTTGAACTCAGGACCTTGCTAATTTCCGCTGACTTTTCAAAGCCTTCTAAAACTTCTCCATGGACCATTTTAATGCCCGAAATAATTCATGGATATCTGCCAAAAACAGGTTAAATGAATTGAAATGTATAAAAACTTTTTATATACTTCTGAAACCTCCTCTAGGACCATTTGAGTTTTCCAGATGATTCCTAAAAGACACTGAAGAACCCAATCTTCAAGGACTCTGATAAAGCCACTGAAATATAGGAAACTGCTGTTGTACTCACCATTCCACTTTTAGCTCAATGTAAGTCAGCAGTTGACATTTTCCTTTACAGGTTTCACATTGCTTTTCCCCCCTACCATCACACTTTGTACACCTAAACACACACAGACACATAACTCATTATTTTTGGTTACTTACAGACATTGCAGATTTTGCTTTATTTTTTAAAAATATGGTATTTGTTTATTTTTACTTCTATTATTATTTTAAAAAATTACTGAACTTTTACTTATTGCAGTATTTCTTTGCTTAGACATTTTTAGGAAATTTTGCATCTGTCCTTTTCTAATTAGTTACTGTAATTAATCGTATATCCCCAGCATATGCACAGTCATAAAACTGGTATTTTTTCTGTTTTATTTTCAGTTTGTGTGACCATTCAGTACCTGTCTTTGCCTGTGCCATTACAGTGAGTGCAGGCTGGATCGGACTTTGCCGCACCATTACACATCGGGCATGCTTTCTACAACCACACAAATAAGCAAATGTTTTAATTGTACCTTGATCAGACTTTTCATGTCTTATTATTTACTATTGAGAGTTTCCTTACTTTTCCACTTCCACTGCACTCCTTGCATTGCTCAGTACCTGCTGCATGGCATGTGTGGCATTCCTAAACACAAACACACAAAAAAAAAAGTTAAAAATGAGCAAAAGGTAAAAAAATTTCACGTGTTCATGGTTTTAAAGCCTCAATAAACTCAGGAAAAGATGAGCTGTAGAACCATCTCATGGACAACTAAAGATCCATCAAAATTCATCTGGAAAATTCTTTAAGTATATATGTCTTCAAGCTTAAAGCTCAGAACCAAACTGCAGGTAACCCAGCACTTTGACAGATAGCTTTTGTTATTCAGCCACCTTGATGGAGGACGTGTAGGGCACCCGGATCTTCTCTGTGTGGTCACTGAAATGTTTGGGGTGTGTGGCCTGGACCTCCCATGGTCGTGGAGCGGGCTGGGTGTAAAAGTCAGCAGGCTCACCTTTTAAATACACGAGATCACAGAAAATGGCAGTCAATAAACTACTAGTATAGTAAGTTACTGCATTGTCAGTAGATTTATGCAAGGATCAATAAAAGAGCCATTTGTTATGAAAACCAAAGCAAGTGTTTCCAGGTTTAACTCTTTCAGGTAAAACACTATTGATTAATCAGTTGTTCTGGAGTTTGATTCATAATAGGCTCTGAGTATCACACTATTGTTTTTAATCCCTCACAAGGCCATAAACTTTGAGTGTGGTCAAGAACAAAGTGAAAAATGTGGTTTGGTAACAGGAAACAACAAAACTCTACCATCAGATTAAAAAGCATCCAGCCTTGCTCTATAATAACAGAACATGGTGGCTCAAGGAAACAAATGAAAATGACCATTTTAATGGCTCCACATCAGGTTTTGATTTAACAAAATGAAAATGTGCGTTTACCTTCATGTGGTTTGTGGGCCCAGTCAGTTGACCTGGACTCAGTGAATGTCTCCAGACGGTACTAAGGAACAAAAAACAGACTTTACTGAGAGAAACTGGATTTGCTGATAACATTACTGTGCTAATTTCTCTATATTTCACATCAGAGTGAAAGTGAAACATACGTTTCTATGCATCATGTGCAAGAAATGTCTCTCCCATTAAATCCTACACAAAATTTGTTAAACCCAATCAGTATCGCACATTATACCATACAATGTATTTCCGGGTTGTTGCCATATAACTGGGCATCATATTACTGCATAACAAATTTTGTGGTAAAACCAGTACTTGGAATGGGTATTCCATATTCTTTGAGCTTCTTGCAAGAATCTTGAGGATGTGATGAAAAGTTCTGGCAAACTACTACTTCAGCAGCTCTGGACACTTACTAAAAGCTCTGAAGTTTTTGAGAAGAAAATGGTCGCACTTTCTATTACAGCTCAGTAATAAGGGGGTAATAGCAGGTTAACTAGTTAACCTACAAGGTATGTGTTTTAAATATGCTTTTTGCATGTTGCAGCTGTATTTCCTGTTTTATTAGGCAAACTGCCACAGTTGTTTTTAGATAATAATCACACACTTTTTAGCTTTAATAGGTTCTTAATATGTTATTAAATTTAAACAGGTGGTTTTGCATTTTGCAGCACTGTTTCCTGCTTTTTACACAGAAACTACCACAGGTAATTGAGGGGTAATAACTTAACGCATATTACTGCATTATAGCATTCTTGTTTCTTCCTTGTGACTCCACTTTATTGTGGAGCTGTATTTCCATATTATTATGTGCAGTTTTTGGGTTCTCATTATCCTATTACATACATTTCTGAGCAATATTACTCAACTGTAACCACTCTTGCTACCATGATATTATTTAGATATTAAGTGGTTATTACTTTGGTAATTGCATAGTAAAAGCTTGGAAATTACCACATTATTACACTCTTTTCCCCCCTTTTTACCCTACTACTACCCCTGTATTACCTAGCTGTAATAGAAAGTGCTACCAAAAAATTCATTATGCATGTTTCAACAGTTCATTATCATTCAATTATGTCCTTTGGTCAAATGTTTGGAAAACTATGGATAAAAGCATCTCAAACCAGAGCTCTGCAACAGACTGATCAAGATAGTAAAGGCAGATATGGAGGTAACTCAGTCCGCAGCATCACTGATGGTGGTGATGGTGGAACATTTAATCACCCTAAATGTGTTGAATGGCTCCATGGAGGTGATGACTCCCTGAGTGACTGGATCTTCACTGTAGCAGATATGAGATGACACAAATTTCTTGAATGCCTCCCGAGCCTCATCCTCAGAAAGAGAGGGGATACTACAATACACACAAACTCTGTGTTAAACCAGAATATTCTACTGGTTGGTGAGCAGCTCAGAAACACAGATAATATGTTGTACCTCCATTCGGGATTTTCAGGGCTGGGTTGGGGTGGGGCTACTGGCTCCATGGGCATGGGAGGAGGCAGGAAACCTGCTGCATCAATGACAAATTTTCAAGTACCAGCAACAGCATTAATGTGAGGAATTATATGCTTTTCTTACCTCCTCCTGGCACAGTGCCTTCATAGCCTGGGACATTGACAAACATGTTGGCTTGGGGTGCCATGACAGGTGGATACATAGCTGGAATGAAAAACAAGAAACAAAAAATTCAACCAAACGGATCAGGTGACCCTGAATCCTCCCTTAGTTATGCTGCAAAAGATCTAGGCTGCTGGGGGATTCCCATAATGCACTGAGTGTTTCTTATTCCTTCCATTTAAAAGGTTTTTTTTCTTTACCACTGTAGCCAAAGTGCATGCTCATAGGAGGTTCCCTGATTGTTTTTTTTCTGTTTTTTTGGTTGTGATTTGGTGCTATAAAACTGAATTGAATTGAATGGCTGGAGCTGAATAAGACTGTTCCTGCACAGAAGAATGTTTGGTGCAATGAAAAATGATTATGCCCACGCTATGGTTAGCCACGGCCAGGTGGGCTGGTGTATTTGCGGTGTGAACCCAAAAGCAGACACAGGAGAGGGAATGAGGTATAACAAAAGCCGGGCCTTTTATTGAGGCTGATTTCCAAAAGAGAAAACAAGGCAAGGCGAGTTGGGGGGAAAAGGAAAGCAAAACCTAAACTGGAATAACCTAAACTCAATATGAAAACTATGACATGGAACTCAGCGCATGCGAAAACGGTGACCAGAAACATGAACATGAACACGAACATGAAGCATGAAAACAATCCTGAGACTTGCAGTGATATGACATGAGATAGACAGACAACCTGACAATGAAGAAAGAGAGACAGAGGACTTAAATTGTGTTAAAAAAATAAAAAATTAAAAGTTAAAAAATTGTGTATGTTTCTGTTCTGTGTCCTGTGTACTGTTTGTTTATATATGTGTCTTTCTGGCTGCTGTCAAAACCAAATTTCCCCTCGTGGGACAATTAAAGGATTATTCTATTCTATTCTATTCTATTCTAAATACACAGAAGGGTATACTCTGTTGAACAGTTCTTGTTTCTGCCATGGCTGCTCTACAAAACGACTTGTGTAGATAAGTTAGTGAAATCATTCTTCAGAATCAGTTTTAGTTAGAAGGAAATGATTCACCTTCTGTGATATGTGATAAGTAAATGTGAAATGTAAAATGTAAAAGTAAAATGTGATAACTACAATGGTGCAGAAAGCTGCATCTGGTCAGAAGAAATAAACCCCACAAATTTTAAAGAGTTGTCCAGATTTGTTAAAACTTAAAACGGCTGTCAACGGACAGATGCAAGGATATCCATTGCTACCCCCTCATGCAATAAAGAGTTTCAAAGATGTTTGTTGTATGACAAGTATGATAATGGGGGTAGTATACTAACCCCATTTCCAGTGTTAGAGTAAACATTTTTAGTTCAGGTTTCTTTTACCATTTTCTCTCTTATCTCTTAATTTTAACAAACATCTCCAAAAAACAAACACTGATATGACAAGAAACTGCATTGATTTCTGAAAAGGGTAATAATGGTTGTGTGCAGACAGCCCCTAAAGCCCCGGACAGACTTTAATATTTTGTCACAGACTCTGAAGGACTCCATCACCCGTTCCAGCAACTCAAGAATCAATGATTACGTTAACCTGACACATGAGGGATTACAGACGAAGGCATGAGGTCAGTATCTAGAAAAAAAGACTCCAAAAACTGAAACTAGTAAAACAACTTGATTAGCTCTCTCAACATGACAGTGTTAACATCCATATCCTTGCATCTGTCCATTTACAGCTATTTAATTTTGTATAAATATGGTGAACTATTCTAGGTTAGTGTTATTTTTCTTTCTGACCAGATGCTGTTTTCTGCACCATCTCTTCAACGCCCTTATACTTGTTACTAGTGTGTATGCGCTAAAACAGAAATATTTTCCATATCCTCAGTACGGTTTCAATAACTCATGCAAACACAGCATTTTGAAAAGGGTATAGAAGCCGTACCAGTTGTTTGACTCAAAACAACAAATTAAATCTTTACATTTCAACTTTCTTTGTCTTTGTCTCAAAAGATTATTTATTATCATGCATTACTATTATTATCATCACTGATTATTTCCTGACTTTCATTATGCCTAAATTGAGCACATTATATTAGGTCTGCACTCCCTTTCTTCACCTGAGTTGATTAAACTTATTTTTAAATCAGAAAATCTGACCTTGTTTTCTCTTTCAGAGTTTAGCAATCCATATGTGTCCTTATTTGTTAAGTCTAAAGCAGGGATGGCAAACTAATTTTAAAACATGGGCCACACTCACCCCATTTTAAATTTAAGCGGCCGGACCACTGGTCTTTCCAACAATAGAAATAAGTTTAACTACACATTTAGCTGAGATGCATTAATCTAAAAGAAATGCACGCAAGTCTTATAGTATCTCTTAGTTTTTCTACATGATAACGAAACACTGCTGACGTTAATGATAGAAATATGTCAGTGTGACTCTTTGGAATTGGAATTGTAAGAAATAAATGTGTAAAAATACAGAAAAGAAATTGCACAAAGTACAAAACAGAAAGATCCTGTTAATTCGCATTTTCCTCCCAAGTCCACTTTCTTTCTGCTTTTCTTTCTTTTTTGTCCACTACAAAGGCAAACGTCTGCATCAAATTCTTCAGGAAACAAGGTTCAGGTGGCTTGATGAGTTTCATCGGCAGTTTACTGTCAAAAAGGAAAACAAGTGGATCATGTTTGGAGCTCCTCTTTTAAAAACTAAAATATACTGAAGAAGCAAACGAATGCAGTTTAGTGAATGCTGAAGTTTAACATGATTCTGACTTAATCTTCGCACTGAATGTTTATTAATAGAAGTGACAGCGTTTCAGCGCCGACTATCAGGAGCCGAACCCTGCGTCTGCGCCTTTGAATAGCCCGCAGGGGTTCTGTGGTCAGTGTCGTGATGGTTCCTAAGCCTGCTGGTGTGTCCTGTGCTGCAGTTCCTACCTGAGCTGTTCATTCTGCTGCAGATCAACCACGCTGATATCAGCCTCACAGAATCCGTTACAGTTAGAGTCATCCAGAACCGCATTTAAATGGTGAAATTCGGAACGCCCCCTGGTGGGAGAGCAGGCCCGCCTACCCCGAGTTAACGATCAAAGATAGAAGCAGTGAATGCAAACAATCGAAAAACTGTAAATCTTTATTTTTCCTGCGGTGTGCTTGTGACTCGCTCAATAAACAGCTGACCAGGGTCTATCCTGTGGCTGCAGTTAAGGCTGTTTTTAAGCGCAGAAAAACAAGCATTATATTGTGATACACCAATGGCTTTGGCAAGAAACAAATCCCGCTTTTTCTACTTTACTATTAGAACTCAGTTCATCATCGTTTCGTGGTATCGGCATAAACGCGGCCTTTGGGGTCTTTTGTGCCGAAACCTGATCCAAATCCAACTTTTCTATGTTTTTTCTATTTGTAATGCATTTACCAATATTGATGAATAGACTGCATCCAACTGGATTGACACAATTTTGACTTTGCGTTATTGTACGTATCCTAATGAATATTTAAAATATTTCTATAGAATTGTGATTTTACATTTGTTAAGATTTCTGCTCCCCTCTTGCCCCCTTATCCTCACTTGTCAATGACGTTTTTTTAACCTGGAAACTGATCGCAGCTTCTACCAATGTTCCTTCTGGTTTATAATGATTTGATATAATCCCTGAGGGATTTGTGTGACATTTGTTTGACAGATTATAGGCTAAAAACCTGTTTACAGCTGTTTGAATATCAATCATTTTTTGGCAAAACCTGAAAGCACCTGCTTTGAGTGCATTTTCTAATAACCTTTAGTTGCAAAAGACCCTAACACAGTTAGCTAAACAATTGATGACAGGAATTCTGTACACGGTTCTGAAGAGCCCATGAGATAAAGCGGCTGGTTTATGGCTAAACAAGCAGGAAGCAGCTAAGCCTCAGTTCTCCTCTTGATCTCACTGATAAGATCTGCTCTGGATATATCGACCTCCTCTCTGGTTGCCACTACACACAGCTTCACCACTCCATCCTTCAGCTACTGTTCTCCCAGTATAGCCACGAGGGGGATTCCTGCTTCCTCACAGTACTGCAGCTGACTCAGCAGTTGAGGGGTTTTTTTTGTACATCAACTCAGCCTTGATGTCAGCTTTCCAGAGCTCAGAGATGAGTTGTCGTTGTTATAATCTCACACAACTAATTTAAAGCACAACTCGTCCAAATCTTAAATGCCCAGAAAAGTCATCACTTATTGATTTATTTTTAACTAATATGCCATATAAATATTCTCACACTGGGGTTTTCGCAAATGATATCAGTGACCACTGTGTGGTAGCTGTAGTCAGACAATCGAAGCTCCCAAAATCAAGGCCACAAATAGCTTTTAAATGAGATTTTAAGCATTTCTGTGAGCAAGCTTTCTTTCATGATTTATGGGACTATAAATGGAGTAGAATCTACCTAACTGATCTTGAGCTGCCATGGAATTATTTATATGATACTTTTATCAAAATTATAAATAAACATGCCCCTATCTGCAAATTTAGAGTAAAATGCAGAAACAACCCTTGGTTTTCTCCTCAGCTCTCCAGTCTACTCAAAAAAAGGGATGCTGCCTGGGCTAAGGCCAGAAAAACCAAATCTGAAGCGGACTGGCTGACTTTTAGACACCTCAGAAACCGTTCAACTTCCTTAATTAAAAAGGCCAAATCAGAATTCTATCTTTCAAATACTACTAAACATTTGAACGACCCTGAAAAATTCTGGAAAATAATAAAATCTTCTTATGGGGACATAACTACAAATGAGATGCCAACTTTAGTTGTAAAAGACTCCTGTACTTTAACAGAGAAATGTGACATTCTAAACTGCTTTAATGAGCATTTTGTTTCTTCAGGATCTCTATTTGAATCTTTATATCCAGATTTAAAACAGCTTTCAACAAGAGGCTCTCTCTGCAACCACTCAAACTGAATCTGTGGTCCAACCCTTCAGTTTTTCTCCGCTAAAAGTTTTTGAGGTCCACAGGGCTTTAAATCTGTTGGATCTAAATAAATCTGCAGGACCAGATCAACTTGATCCCTATTTTCTTAAGTTGGCTGCAGATTTTATAGCAGAACCAATAACTTAAATTTTTAATCTTAGCCTATGTTCTCCCTTTGCTGAAAGGAGGTGATCCTTCAGATGTTAATAATTACAGGCCCATATCTAAATTGTGTGTTCTAGCAAAAGTTCTAGAAAAGTTCATTAGTGAACAACTGAAAGACTTTTTGGACAAAAATTCAGTTCTTTCTCAACATCAGTCAGGATTCAGAAAAGAACACAGCACAATAACTGATGCTATTAAAGTGGTTAATGACATCGTTGATTCAATAGACTGCAAAAAATACTGTGCTGCTCTTTTTCTTGACTTGTCAAAGGCTTTTGATACAGTTGACCATGCTATTTTATTAAATAGACTAAACAATATTGGTCTATCTGTAAATGCTGTAAGTTGGTTTTCAAATTACTTGTCAGCAAGAAAACAGTGTGTCCGTGCTGCTGGGTCTTCTTCCTCTTTTCTCCCAGTATCCAAAGGAGTTCCGCAGGGCTCCATATTAGGGCCATTGCTATTTTCTCTTTACATAAACAACCTTTGTGATAATTTGTCAAATGCAGCATTTCATCTTTATGCAGATGATACAGTTATTTATTGTTCATCCCCTTCAGTAGCACAAACCCTGCAATTTCTGTAGTCTGCCTTTGACGTCGTTCAGTCCCATTTAACTCAACTTAAGTTGGTGTTAAATCCAGAGAAATCCAAGTTCATGTTATTCTCAAATGGCAAAGAGTTGTTAGCTACGTCTCCTAAGATTAAAACAATTCAAGGAACTGAAATTGAAATGGTCACATCTTACAAGTATCTAGGGATCATTATAGATCAGAATTTGCCATTTAAGACTCACATTCAAAGGCTTGTGTCGAAGTTAAAACTAAAACTAGGTTACTTTTTTAGAAACCAATCCTGTTTCTCCCTCCAAGTGAGAAAACATTTGATTCGTGCAACCTTTTTACCTTTATTGGATTATGGTGACCTGCTTTTTATGAATGCACCTGCCCACTACCTAAAGAGGCTGGATACTGTGTACCATTGTGCTTTACGTTTTATTACTGGCTATGGAAATCGTGTACATCATTGTTCTTTGTATGCTGCTGCTAAATGTCCATCTTTGCATATTCGCAGACTCTCCCATTGGTTGATCTTTATCTATAAATCTCTCCTTGGGCTGGTTCCATCTTATTTATGTGTGTATATGTGTAAAAACCACAACCAATACAGCCTTCGTTCGCACAATATCATACAATTGATTGTCCCAAAAATCAGAAAAGAATTGGGGGAAAAGGCTTTTAAATATGCTGCCCCTGCTTCCTGGAATAATCTGCAGAAGGAACTGAAATTATCAGAATTGGTTACCTTGGGAGAGTTTAAGTCTGATTCATTAACGAGAGAACAGCTCTTTTACTCAGTGTGATTGTTTTTAATGTACTCTTAATTTGATCTGTTATTGTATATTTTACACATGTTGGTATGGGATATTGTATTTGTTTTAAATGTTATATACCTATGTGGTATGTGACTTTTGTTGCCATGATGCCAGGTCCCTCTTCGAAATGAGATTTTACCTGGATAAATAAAGGACTAATAAAGAGGTGGGGTGGGTTGTAACATATTTTAGAAGTGTTAGAACATCCCCTTACATAAAACTAAGAATAATTTATTAATTTGAATCATTTTACAGCATGCCTAGGCAGTGGTTAAGTGACACAATGCACACAATGCATTCTGGGATGACATGTAGTAGGGGAGGTGCAGCAGATTGACCCGGAAGTTATACAGAGTTCATTCCCACCACAATGATCTTCCCCTCTGCTGTTGGACACATGAACAATAACCACATGACTGTTCCCACCACTAACACATGACCCTACGCTGTGTCACTGCATCATTTCATGTTTGGCACTGATCACCACCTGCACTCATGTATATATCTTTCTACGTAGCACTCTTAATTCTTATTCTCATGTATATATCTCATGTATAGCTCATGCACATATCTTTCTACGTAGCACTTTTAATTCTTATCCCTACTTTTATTTTTTCATGTCTATTTAAGTGCTATTTATGACACTATTTAAGTGCTATTTATGACACTATGTTTGCACTGAAGCACCGCAGCAATTTCCTAATGTTGTAAACCTGCTCAACATTTGGCAATAAACCCGTTTCTGATTCTGATTCTGCTTCTGATGAAGGGATTTCCGGAAGTGGGGTCAGATGTTACCTTGGTTACATAAAGGCAACATATTAAGAGGTTAACCCACAGGCTAATGCCATCATCTCATGTTTTTATTTCACCTTTCAACTGTGATTAGTCAGATTTTTCTCTAGAGGAAACATTTAATCACACATTGTTTAAAGTTGAAGTCACACATACAGAAAGCAGCACATCATTGTTTTTGAAAGTTTTAGATGGATAAAAGGATGTTTTCTTGTCATGCTGAAGACGCTATAGTGGCACATACTGGCACATGTTTGGAGTAAACTTTTTGGTAACACAGAAACACCTTCAGTTAGAGGCACATGAGGCTGGTTTTTGCCTTCAGAGCATAGCAAAAACCTTCCACAGGAAGTGAAATTAAGTGGGCAGTAAGAAAGAGTAAGTAAGTGTACAGCAATTGGTAACTATAGGATAGTAGTTTGATTGGCAACATCATTATATTACAAAAATCACCAACAGTAAACATTTCCTGTTATTGTAAATGTGAATAAACCCAGCCCAAATGTAGCCATCCTTCACAAAGTGCTGCAGTTTTTTTTACAGCGACTTGCCATAAACATCGTGTGAAGGTACATATTATATTCATAATTCTCTATTATATAAAAAAATTTAAATGTCCTTAAGTCCCTGCAAAAATTTGAATCATCTTCATCTGATATCTCCAAAGTATGATAAGGACACGCATGCAGAACTTGCAGTAAGTTGCAGTAACAGCGGAGGGAGATATTTTATTTCAAGCCTACATGAAAATAATCACAGGAAAGTGTTTAAACAGACATTATGAACTTATTTACATATATAAATATATATTATTATCTGCCCTGCTTAATCATTTCTGGTGATTAAGGACATTGGAATGTACATCATATGTTTTTTGTTCACTACTGACTTGGTGGCTTTAATATTATTATTATTATCTACCCCTGCTGGTGATGCAACTTCTGCATGCCTGTCCGTTTCACTTTTTGGAGAAGCAAAGTGTGAAATGGATGCAGTGGACTGGTGTGTCTTGTCCCGATTCGTGATTGAGGTGTGAGACAAACGACTGCTGGTCCAAGTGCGTCAAAACAATGATTTTATTAAACACGTGTGAAGGAAATACACCATCACAATCCTCAGCATAAATCCCCCAAAACAGCATACTTAAAATGTTTTTATATGTCAGGGTATAACGCCCCCTCATGCGTCAAAGCAGATACATAACATGCATAAGTTACAGTAACCACAGCTCTTCTGCTGACAACCTTTGACACACACTCAAAAAGACATTTTCTCCGTCTCCACGCCAGGTGATCTTGATCTTCTTATTCTCGCTTATCTCTGGAACATCAGAAACACATTCTACAAAAACTGTTACTTATGCAGGCACAAAATGCAGTTACAAGCCAAATATGTCTTAACTCTAACCTAGAAATGAATCTATATACTGTCTGTGTATGCAGGCGAACTGTCTCGACCTCACTGCACTCTGTCTCACCTCACCAGATAAAGCTTGTAACCTCTTACCAGACAGAAGGCCAACTCTTTCATAAGCACATTCTTACAATATATGTAATAACATACTTGAAACTATATGTGTAATATATATTGAATAAATGTTGTAATCAAATGCTACTCAAAGCTTAATAAAAAGGATATAAGAGAATAAACATGATATAAAATGATATAATCCCCACAGTCTGTTATGTTTTCCTATGAGACTGGGTTGTATGGCTACAGTAGCTCTAAATGAAGCATTATAAGATGTGAAATATCACAATTATTCCTTTAGCTTGACCACTTACATTATTGTGAAAAAGTATTCACCCCCTTCCTGATATCTTACTTCTTAACATATGTGTCATACTTTAATGTTTCAAATCAAAAACCTTTTAATTCTACACAAACCAGAGAAAATACAAAATACACTTTTTAATTGATGATTTCATTCATCAAGGGAAAAACATTAACCAAACCTGAACAGCTGAACAGAACATTACATTCTATTACTTTTTAACACAGGTATGGTTTGCTTTTCTTACCCTAATAAATGAATCATCATTATATATGGAAAAAGGAAGACTGATGAGTACATGTTTAATTGCTTTGAGCTGTGTGTATTTGTGAGTCTACAGGATGACGCAGCAGCAGGTCTCTGGGTAGTCATCAGCACTGACTTTGCGCTCGTTGCCGTACACGTAGTAGACGTAGCTCTTGTCTTTCCACTTGTAGTTCACCTGAGTGATGGGGATCAGCTCGACCGTCTGCCTCTGAAAGAGAGAGAGATGGAGGGATTCGTATTAAAGGAAAACTTTCAACAGCATCAGAGCGGGTCAGCTTGAGTCAGAATACTTTAGCTTAGCATTGACTGAAAGCAGGAGTAAAGGAAATGAGCACTTTTCTTAGCCACATTTCAGATTTGTATTAATCTTCAATCGACCAGCTTCAAACCTTTATGTCCTTTTCTTTAACAAAAATTCCAACAATTAATTCCCCTTTTGAGTGTTTATATAACAGCTAACTCTTCAACCACCATCAAATCATTCAAGATGGCTTTAGTTATCTTTATAGGACACCTTATCTCTTGAGCTTCTGTAGCAGTTGATAACTTTAGTAATTGAACAGTCTATTGATTTTTCTATTGACTAACTGAGGAATCAGTTAAGTTAAATATTTTGCAGAGCAAAGCAATAAATTGCAGAGTAACACAGGCACACCAGCACAGGCTGGCCACTGGGGGTGACTACACTATAGCCCATAGACTCAAAACTCTAAAGTAAACTTTGCAGGTTTTCCTTGCTGCTTCAACTACAAATAATGGAATTTCAGCTCGAATCAATTATATTTCAACTAGAATTAGCTGCTGATGGAACAAGGATAGCTGTTTTCTTTCCCTCCACTACTGGAGAAGATCTGGATAATTTTTCTTTTGAGCTGTGTGTCGGCCTACCTGCTGCAGAATCCTGGAGGTTTTGCCATAGTTAGTTTGATGTTCTTTGATCAGACGCTCAGAGGCCTGAGAGACTGCTGGGTTTGGAAAGCCAAGCAGTGGGTAGACCTGAGAGAAGCAAGAGTTTAATTCACAATATTCACACCGCTAACCCCAGCAATGTGTTTTCCTTCTCCCCAACCTTTCCTTTACATTTATCTCAACTACACCTGTCTGAGGTGAGTTCCTGCAGTGGCTTTATGTTTAATTTATGGAGATTATTTCAACATTTCGAACATAGAATATAACATTCCAAACTACTGTGTGAAATTACTGAGATGTAGTTTTTTGTATGAAATTTTGGTATTTAAAAAAAAAAAATCTTATTAGGATTCAAAGTGAAGCTACATTGTGTGTGTGTGTGTGTGTGTGTGTGTGTGTGTGTGTGTGTGTGTGTGTGTTTACCAGGTTCTGGCTGCTCTTGAACAGCTCTTTCCCTTTTACTGAGCGCAGGTTATCACTCTTCAGACCACAGCTCTGCTCCACCAGATGATCTTCCACATGGTTTTTCCTAAACACAAACACACAGATATGAACTATATTCATGCTGTATCCATCAAATATAAAATACAGATTTAACACACACTCTACATCCTGATGAATACAATATTACATGAATCAATCATTTCAAGTTTTAACCAATCAAGTTTCTACTGTTTTCAGTTTAAACTCGCAGCATGTAATTTTCATCTTTATTGACTAGAGGGCACCAAAGCATCACTCAAAAAAACATTTATTCTCTTCCGCTTATCCTTAGCAGGGTTGCATGAGTGCAAGGGGAAGAGGTGGGGTACATCTTGGACAGGCGGCTAGTCTGTTGCAGTTCTAACACAGAGAGACAGACAACCGTTCACACCTAAGGGCAATTTAGAATCACGACCAGTAACTGCATGTCTTTGGACTGTGAAAGGAGGCCTGAGTACCCACAGAGAACACTCCACTCCACACAGAAAGGCCCTGACCAGATTATGGAGATGAACTCAGGATCTTCCTGCTGTGACGCAGTGTAAGCCACCACATCGGGGGTTTGAATCCGCTGAACGGCTACTCTGAGGTACCCCTGAGCAAGGTACCGTCCCTACACACTGCTCCCTGTGCGCCTGCTTAGTGGCTGCCCACTGCTTCACTGAGTGAATAGGTCAAATGCAGAGAAAAACAAGTAATTTCCCCACGGGGATCAATAAAGTATACATTATTATTATTAGTGACTGAATATAATGGATTTGCAACAGTGCTTTGAATGTTCACGAAACCTGAATTTTCTCAATTTCAGGATAAATTACATCAGATAAATCTCTGTTGTTAATAATATTGGGGTGCCCACTGATCAAGAAATTTTTTTATTATCATTCAAATATGGCTTTCAAATTTAATGCTATATTTTTACATGCTACATACTTTTACTGATAGTAAAACGAAACAATGACCATGTGTAATTTCTTCTCTTGTTTCCTTATTTGATTTTTAAAATTTGTTTATACTGTATGTCAGATATCTGCAGAAATATATGGGCCTCTTAAGCCTTTAAGCAACTCTGTCACTGAAAGATAAAATCTTTGTTTTCATAAACTGGTTATTCCTCAAGTACAACTAAAACCGTGGGCAGGGCTCGTGTATTATCCTTAAGGACTGGACCCCATCAGTAGTCTGTGGAAGATATTTAATGTTTTCTAAAATTTCAGTGGAAGTACCTCAAAAAATATTTAAGGTAGGAAAAAAAAGAACCAACTAATTTGCATTGACTTTTCAAAGCCTTTTAAAACATCTCCATGTACCATTTTCCTCTACATAATTCACGAATATCTGTCAAAACAAACAGACCTCAAACAGAACCTTAAGTATCCTTAATTAACTCTGCAAGTATCCAGGACATGTAGCATAAAATTGGCTTCAAGGGCTTTAGAAACAAATTTAAACCGTTTAAAGGAGTTAAATTGAGTTCAAATGTAAGTGTCTTTATATACTTCTGCAACCTCCTCCAGGACCATTTGAATTTTACAAATGACACCTAAAACACACTTGAAGAACCCAATCTTCATACAGGAATCATAGGAAATATAGGAATGTTGAAACTGCTGTTGTACTCACCATTCCACTTTGAGCTCAATGTAGGTCAGCAGTTGACGTTTTCCTTTACAGGTTTCACATTGGTTTTTCCCACTACCATTACACTTTGTACACCTAAACACACACAGACACATGACTCATTATTTTTGGTTACTTATAGACATACAAATCTTTTCCCAATTTTTTCTTTGTTACTAAAGTCCACATTGAAGTGAATAAAATCATTTAAATATGTTTGACTCAGTCTTGACCATTATCGATTCTCTAGATTTTATTTTAACTTTAAAAAAATCTGATATTTGTTTATTTTGTCGATATGTGTATGCTTATTTTGTCAACATTGCTGCTCATCTTCAACCAGGCTACACTCATAAAAGACTTTGTTAAGTTTGTTAAATAAATAAAAGTAACTTATGATTTCACATCCTGCTGAACATTTGACTGATTTCTTCCTTTGCTCATATTTATTGGGCCAGATGATCATTTCTTTACAAAAAGTTATCCCAGTTATTGTGGGATAACTAGATGGCAGATGGGAGCAGACAGATGATCAGTTGAGTCCGTAGCGTCAGATAGAAGAGCAACAAATAGCAACAACAGCATTTTATTTCACTCTTTAAATTGTTAAACCCTTTATTTTATAAAACATTCATATATAAAACAATTGTTTAATGAGGCTTTTCTTGCTTTTGTAACACTTCTACTTTTGCTTTTAATTTGAGTAAAATAAAGCATCATTGAGAACATGAGCAGAGATTTAAGCAGAAAATGAATGGACATGCAGAAAAAGAAGAAAAAGTGATTCATTCGGTGGACTCTTGAAAAGAAAGAGAAAAACTGCTAAGGAAAAAAAATAGGCTAAAAGTTATGACTTTGGTAGGTTCTGAGAAAATGACAGACACACAAGTAGCCCAGGAAAAACATGCTGCAGGGCATTGCAAGCCTCCCAGAGGTGTCTCAAACCACCTGAAATAAACTGACACTGTCCCATGACAGTACTGATGACATGACTCTGTGTGTGCGTGTGTGTCTGAGAAGGGCGTTGTCTGAATCCATTCTAATTTTCATTAAGCCATTCAGCACCACAGCTTCAGAATAAAAACTAAAGTTACTAAATAAATAGCTATTGTGATTGATCAACAGAGAGGACCATACGAATGCCTGAGTGAAAAGCTTAGCCCTTAACTGACTGTAATTCAATTCATTATTCATGTTAGAACTTGCAGTCCATATGCTGACAAACACGTTATGAAGCCTTTTTTTCACAAGTTTATAAACCCTCAAACTCTGAAAGTCTCATGCTCTGCTCAGTACATGTAAAAGAGTCACCTCATTCCCTGTATAGAGAAAAAGTCCATCATCATCCCAGCTGGCTGTTTTCTGAGTCTGATAAGTAGATATCTACTTCGCACAGCTCACCAAATAGTTCTAAGCGGAAGTGGGGTTTAAACTGTGTATTGTTGCGTTTGATTGGATCACCTGTATCTGAAGGGGAAAACGTGAGGTAGAGGCTCCATAGTATAGTACAGGGGTGTCCAAACAGTTTTATTAATAGAAATTCACCTATAGGGGCCAACAATCCCTACTGACATTATTTTCTACAGGCTCATAACCCCAACATTTTCATGCAAATATGATCTAATCAAATTGCAATATATTAAGCTGTGTTTTTTACTTTAAAATGTTAATAGTGAATAAATTATTTGAAAACACAAATTCAAAATAATCAGAATCTAAAATTTATGAATTTCAGAAAACAATTCTTGTACTTGCTTGCCAACATTAAAAAAAAAAAAAAAAAAAAAAGGAGGTCTGATCCCAATTTATTAACACTGAATCATTTCAATTGTAATTGTTTAATTCGGCGTATCGTTATTAGTTTGCATGTTTAAAAAGAAAAAGGTAGATGAAGATAATACAAAATGTAAGCTTTGAAACTGGTATTTTTTCTGTTTTATTTTCAGTTTGTGTGACCATTCAGTACCTGTCTTTGCCTGTGCCATTACAGTGAGTGCAGGCTGGATCGGACTTTGCCGCACCATTACACATCGGGCAAGTTTTCTACAACCACACAAATAAGCAAATGTTTTAATTGTACCTTGATCAGACTTTTCATGTCTTATTATTTACTATTGAGAGTTTCCTTACTTTTCCACTTCCACTGCACTCCTTGCATTGCTCAGTACCTGCTGCATTGCACGTGTGGCATTGCTAAACACAAACACACAAAAAAGATAAAAATGAGTAAAAGGTAAAAACTTTTCAGAATCACACTGATGGGGAGTTCTCCTTAGATTCCTCACACACAGTTTGTGTTCATGGTTTAACTTCTAATTAGAGCTCCAGCTAAAGTGAAAACTACATGTGGCTATAGCACTGACACCTCGTGCTATGTTAGAAACCAGCTCATTCAGGAACTCAAATCTTCACAGATTTCAAGTATCCCATTCTTTAAGTATATATGTCTTCAAGCTTAAAGCTCAGAACCAAACTGCAGGTAACCCAGCACTTTGACAGATAGCTTTTGTTATTCAGCCACCTTGACGGAGGACGTGTAGGGCACCCGGATCTTCTCTGTGTGGTCACTGAAAAGTTTGGGGGGTGTGGCCTGGACCTCCCATGGTCGTGGAGCGGGCTGGGCGTAAAAGTCAGCAGGCTCACCTTTTAAATACACGAGATCACAGAAAATGACAGTCAATAAACTACTAGTATAGTAAGTTACTGCATTGTCAGTAGGTTTACGCAAGGATTAATAAAAAAGGCATTTCATTATTATGAAAACAAAAGCAAGTGTTTCCAGGTTTAACTCTTTCAGGTAAAACACTATTGATTAATCAGTTGTTCTGGAGTTTGATTCATAATAGGCTCTGAGTATCACACTATTGTTTTTAATCCCTCACAAGGCCATAAACTTTGAGTGTGGTCAAGAACAAAGTGAAAAATGTGGTTTGGTAACAGGAAACAACAAAACTCTACCATCAGATTAAAAAGCATCCAGCCTTGCTCTATAATAACAGAACATGGTGGCTCAAGGAAACAAATGAAAATGACCATTTTAATGGCTCCACATCAGATTTGGATTTAACAAAATGAAAATGTGCGTTTACCTTCATGTGGTTTGTGGGCCCAGTCAGTTGACCTGGACTCAGTGAATGTCTCCAGACGGTACTAAGGAACAAAAAACAGACTTTACTGAGAGAAACTGGATTTGCTGATAACATTACTGTGCTAATTTCTCTATATTTCACATCAGAGTGAAAGTGAAACATACGTTTCTATGCATCATGTGCAAGAAATGTCTCTCCCATTAAATCCTACACAAAATTTGTTAAACCCAATCAGTATCGCACATTATACCATACAATGTATTTCCGGGTTGTTGCCATATAACTGGGCATCATATTACTGCATAACAAATTTTGTGGTAAAACCAGTACTTGGAACGGGTATTCCATATTCTTTGAGCTAATTGCAAGAGTCTTGAGGGTGTGATGAAAAGTTCTGGCAAACTACTACTTAAGCAGGTCTGGACACTTACTAAAAGCCCTCAAGTTTTTGAGCAAAAAAATCCTTACACAGGTTTATTCTTAACAGTTCATTATCATTCAATTATGTCCTTTGGTCAAATGTTTAGAAAACTATGAGTGCAAACAGTTCAAACCAGTCTGTTGCAGAGATAGTAAAAGCAGGTAACTCAGTCCTCAGCATCACTGATGCTGACAGCATTATAAAAAGGGAACATTTAATCACCCTAAATGTGTTGAATGGCTCCATGGAGGTGATGACTCCCTGAGTGACTGGTGCGTCACCGTAGCAGCAATGAGACGACACAAATTCCTTTAAAGCCTCGCGAGCTGCATTTTCAGACAGAGAGGGGATGCTACAAAACACACAAACTCTGTGTTAAACCAGAATATTCTACTGATTGTTGAGCAGCTGAAAGACACAGATAATATGTCGTACCTCCATTCAGGATTTTCAGGGGCGGGTTGGGGTGGAGCTACTGGCTCCATGGGCATGGGAGGAGGCAGGAAACCTCCTGTATCAATGACAAATTTTCAAGTACCAGCAACAGCATTAATGTGAGGAATTATGTGAACCGGGCTTTTCTTACCTCCTCCTGGCACAGTGCCTTCATAGCCTGGGACATTGCCAAACATGTTGGCTTGGGGTGCCATGACAGGTGGGTACATAGCTGGAATAAACAAGAAACAAACCATTGAAACCAATATTTTGGATGAACTTAAAAATTTTCATTCAAACTAAAGTTCTAACCGAACAGCTTAGGAGGTTTGGGCCCTATACCACGAACCTCGTTCAGCAAACATGCAGAACTAAAAAAGTCGAAAACAGAAAAGCCAGCTTTAATTAAGCTTGGTCTAAAACAAAACAAAAAAAGGTGACATTTGATAACGGTGTAACACAATTTCACGCATCACTGAATGCAGGCAAAACAGAAAATACCTCGACATTATAAGTACAGTGCTGACTTTGGCCACATCTTAATTTTTTGCCATCTTCACACAGATTTTTCCCTTTCTATTTATTTTTATTTGGAATTATTAATTTTAGAAAAATGATTATATCCATCTATGGGAATATCAGTTCCTACTGACATGACAGCAGAATAATGGCTCAGAAAATTAAGATTACATTTACATGACACTTTCCCCTTCTAAAAGACTCAAAACTTGCCAATGTTCCTAAAATTTAGTTCCAATGCTTTTGAGTAATTTTGAGTAAACTAGCATAATTTTAACCTCAAAGGGGATTTTTTTTCCTTCATGTTTGTATACAAGAGAAACTGCTTAATAAACAAAATCTATATGCGTTTTTTGAAAGCTTTTTACAACTTACAGACTTTGTTCAAATGCTTTTGCATATTCGTAGTGTTTCCTCCCTTAAATGAAATATCTACTTTTCAAGTATTGCAAGTTGCCCTGTTGTCTTCCGTTCTCGTAAAGTATAATCAAACTTTTTAGTGTTTGAGCCGCTTAGGCGCCGTGGTATTGCCCCTATCAAGTCAGTGAGCTGGGAGTTTGCTGTTCTCCCCGGTTCAAATATTTGAAGTTTGCACGGCTACATTCTCGCCTGAAAATTTGTTAAAAGTTTATTTTGCAACCCAGAAAGAGTAATAAGAGGGGCACTGAAATTCGGGATTGTCCGAGAAAAAACGGGAGGGTTGGCATGTATTACCTTGCATAGCCTGTAACGTTATTATGATGGACAGGTTTTATGAGTGAACTTGACTTTAAGTCACTTACAGGTTTCTTTGGAAAAATACTTTCTTATATCCAGGTTCTTTTTGCTGCCATCCTCCTCTCCTCCTTGCAGGTCCTCGCAGCGCAGGATTGCCGCTGCTAAAACTAAACAGAGCTCCCTGAAAGGCACAGCCAATCACATTGGCTATATTTGTCACATGATGTAGGACTCCAGTAGAGAACGAAATTTAACTCTTTCTGCACCGCTGGGTGAATGAGAGGTTGACAGATCGCTTTTTTTTTTTTTTTTATTTCTATCGGTTTTGTTTTTCTTTACTCAAAGAGATCAAATTATTGGTGGGGACAATTCAATAATCGCTGGATATTGGTGGGGACATGTCCCTTCCGTCCATGCCAAATCTACGCCCTTGCATGAATTAAAAGGAAAGGTATCATATTTCACATTATCTTCCTTCAGAAGACTCATTCATCAAACTGGTTAAACAGTGACAAGGTGGAACATGACAATTTTTTTTAGATAAACTTCAGTTCATACAAAGTTACATTATGTGTGCAGCTGAACAAGCCTGATCCTGCAGAGAAATTTGTGGTGCGAATGAAAGAGGGTTCTGCCCACGCTAGCGTTAGCTATTCCAGTAAGATTAAAACCAGCATGTTAACCTCACACCCAAAAATGGTGACAGAATATTGTAATGCATCTCATTTTACTTTTGATATTAAAATTTGAACCCCCCCCCCCCTTTTTTTGTTGTTGTATTAACTGTCATGTTTAAGTCAAATAAATGTAATAAATAAATAAGTCACCATGAAATCACAATTAAGGCAAAATACAGTTAATAAATTTACATATCAGAACAGAACTGTAACATGTTCTCCACTGCAACCCCGCAGGTTTATTTCTGATTCTGTCATAAGTCAGCTGTGTGCAGGCAGGAAAGGACCCAAACGCACACTCACGTCTCAAGTAAACTCAAAAAACACAGCCTTATTTGCTGGCGTGTAGGTGACACAAAGAAAATAACCTAAACTGGAATACTGGAACCTAATCGTACAAAGAGACACACAGGGAAATACACAGCCATGGATGAGGGAGATTGCAACGCTGGACAGAAGAAAACAAAGTGCTTCAATTAACAGGTAATAACGAGAGAACAGGAAACGCACACACACGCAGCTGGGGCTAATTACACACAACGAGACAGAGGATGCAAAGCTAAACATAAAACATGAGATAAGGTACTTTCAGAGTTAGAGAAGTGAAACAAAACATGGCACACACAGATAAGAGAAAGTAAAACCGGAAGTAATTCACAGAGACGCAGACAGACACAGAAACCTGACTGAATGGGGAAACATGGCAGCCAGGGGAAAACAGAATAAAACATGAGGAGGAAATAAGACACAAGAACTCACACAGCCTATATAAACACAGACACACAAAGAGACACAGAGGCCACAAGGGGAAAATACTAAATAATCAAGGAACTAAACAGGGAATATAAGAAACTCAAAACAGGACAACTAGACTAACAAAGTGGACTTCTACATAAATCATCATACAAAATGACAAAAACACAACCCCCCCCCCCCCCCCCCCCTCCCCCAGAGATTCACAGTTTTTAAAGTTTCTATAAGTAGAATGGGAGGCAGAGTTTTGAGCGACAGACACACTCTCTAGTTTTAAGATTAGCTTAAGCACTGATTACTTCTCAACTCTTTTCTCTTTCACATACCACTATTACATACGTAGTCTAAACCAGCAGTCCCCAACCCCCGGGCCTCGGACCAGCACCGGTCCGTGAGTCGTTTGGTACCGGGCCGCGAGAGTTGAGGCTCAGGTGTGAAATGTATGCTTTTCAGGATTTTTATCGGTTTTTAGGGTTATTTTGTTATCGTTTTTATCGTTAACTCGGTTTTCCTAGGTCTTTTTACTTGTGTTATGAATAAATCTTCTTTTTTTGGTACCGGTACTAGTTTTATTTTGTTGTATTTATCCGCGACACCTTAAAGGCCGGTCCGTGAAAATATTGTCGGGCGTGAACCGGTCCGTGGCGCGAAAAAGGTTGGGGACCGCTGGTCGAAACTACTCGTTAAAAAGGCAAACATCTGCATAAAACTACAGGCTTCATATAGGCGGAGGGGGCAGGAACTGTCATCCAGCAATGATAAAGATCTTCAAGTTATGAAACAAGCTATAAAAAAAGCAGGTTAGGTCAATGCAACAACATTAATGTGAGGAATTGGGCTTTTCTTACCTCCTGCTGACACATTGCCTTCATAGAATGGGGCATTGCTGAAAGTGTTGGCTGAGGTGGGCATGAGAGGGGTATATGCAGCTGGAATTAAAAGAAATAAGAAACAAACCATTCAAACTAACACAGAGAGAACTCAAATTCATCTAAGTTTTTTTAATGCATTAATTAATTATCCTTTTTTTTGGTGGGGCGGGGGGGATGTTTTTGCTTAGGGTAAGGTGAACACTCAGAGGATGACATCAACATTGAAGTTTATTATGGATAATAAGTATTGTGTAAGCTGGGCCTCAGCAGTTGTGGGAAGGGAAATGTACCGTATGGTCATGTACTCAGGGCTGGTCTCTGGCCTTGGTGCACTCTGTTTAAGAGAGGTCTCCCCTTCCAGAGGGAATTATTCCTTTTTCCCTTATCAAAGGCATCAGTCGCATTTGTTACTTTGATGGACTGCCGAATCTTCAAGAATCTGTCTTAGCTTATCCATCCTTTCATGCATCTATTTTCTGCCGTTTTGGTCACTGAAGCAGCAGCCTGAGCAGAGAAACCCAGGCTTCCCTCAAATCAGCTCATCCAGGAGGACACAGAGACACTCACAAGTTAGCCAAGAGATATAATTTCTCTAGCAAGTCCTGGGTTTGCCCTGGGGGTTCCTCACGGTGGGACATTCCTGGAGTCCCAAGTCCTAGTCTGAGCTTCACTTTCCTCCACCTCTTCCCTTGTCAGCAATCAGTCTAACTTCCCCTCTACAGTTCTTAGTATTCTTTAAGATATTATTCTTCTGAGTCATTCTGGTTTGTTTGTTTGTTTGTTTGTTTGTTTAAAAGTCTTTCAGCCTAATTTCAATAGAGCTGAATACAACTGAAAGGGCTCCTATTTCCCCTTCTACATGTTGTAACAAGAACACTTCAGAGCCCTAGGTCATGGATTGCTTTTATCTACAATGGACAGTAGGTGGAGTTGCTTAGTCCTTGCTCAGGTGCTTGAATGCAGATATGTATGCGGGCAAAATAGAAGCTACTTTAGCATTATGACTTTGATGTTGATTTTGGTAGAGATTTGTAGATGTTTGTTTCTTTTTCTCTCCCATCTTCATACAACTTTCTCCCTGTCTCTCACATTCTTTCAATCTTTGTGCCGCCATCCAAAAGATGAATGTTACAGTGTAAGTGTCATGGCCTGGGTCTAGGGACCCAGGGCTCAGGCATTTTCAGTGTATGTTTATGTTTATGTTTTCCGTGTGTTGTATTGGTTTGCTCTCCATCTCTCCATGTGTCTCTGTGTGAGCTTCCGGAGGTGTGGGTTCGCTGAGGAGACTGCGAACCCGGAAGTGGTCTACTCGAGAGACGGCCGCACCTGCCGCTCGTCGTCCTCTGCCAGCTGCAGCAGATTGCGCTCGTCTAGGAACGGCATTTAGGACTGCAGCTGAGCTGAGACCGACGCTGGATCCTTGAGTCAGAACTCGTCAGTACTGCCGTGAGCTTTTACGTAACCTCCGCGGCGCCGTGGTATTGCCCCTATCAAGTCAGTGAGCTGGGAGTTTGCTGTTCTCCCCGGTTCAAATATTTGAAGTTTGCACGGCTACATTCTCGCCTGAAAATTTGTTAAAAGTTTATTTTGCAACCCAGAAAGAGTAATAAGAGGGGCACTGAAATTCGGGATTGTCCGAGAAAAAACGGGAGGGTTGGCATGTATTACCTTGCATAGCCTGTAACGTTATTATGATGGACAGGTTTTATGAGTGAACTTGACTTTAAGTCACTTACAGGTTTCTTTGGAAAAATACTTTCTTATATCCAGGTTCTTTTTGCTGCCATCCTCCTCTCCTCCTTTCAGGTCCTCGCAGCGCAGGATTGCCGCTGCTAAAACTAAACAGAGCTCCCTGAAAGGCACAGCCAATCACATTGGCTATATTTGTCACATGATATAGGACTCCAGTAGAGAACGTAATTTAACTCTTTCTGCACCGCTGGGTGAATGAGAGGTTGACAGATCGCTTTTTTTTTTTTTTTTATTTCTATCGGTTTTGTTTTTCTTTACTCAAAGAGATCAAATTATTGGTGGGGACAATTCAATAATCGCTGGATATTGGTGGGGACATGTCCCTTCCGTCCATGCCAAATCTACGCCCTTGCATGAATTAAAAGGAAAGGTATCATATTTCACATTATCTTCCTTCAGAAGACTCATTCATCAAACTGGTTAAACAGTGACAAGGTGGAACATGACAATTTTTTTTAGATAAACTTCAGTTCATACAAAGTTACATTATGTGTGCAGCTGAACAAGCCTGATCCTGCAGAGAAATTTGTGGTGCGAATGAAAGAGGGTTCTGCCCACGCTAGCGTTAGCTATTCCAGTAAGATTAAAACCAGCATGTTAACCTCACACCCAAAAATGGTGACAGAATATTGTAATGCATCTCATTTTACTTTTGATATTAAAATTTGACCCCCCCCCCCCTTTTTTGTTGTTGTATTAACTGTCATGTTTAAGTCAAATAAATGTAATAAATAAATAAGTCACCATGAAATCACAATTAAGGCAAAATACAGTTAATAAATTTACATATCAGAACAGAACTGTAACATGTTCTCCACTGCAACCCCGCAGGTTTATTTCTGATTCTGTCATAAGTCAGCTGTGTGCAGGCAGGAAAGGACCCAAACGCACACTCACGTCTCAAGTAAACTCAAAAAACACAGCCTTATTTGCTGGCGTGTAGGTGACACAAAGAAAATAACCTAAACTGGAATACTGGAACCTAATCGTACAAAGAGACACACAGGGAAATACACAGCCATGGATGAGGGAGATTGCAACGCTGGACAGAAGAAAACAAAGTGCTTCAATTAACAGGTAATGACGAGAGAACAGGAAACGCACACACACGCAGCTGGGGCTAATTACACACAACGAGACAGAGGATGCAAAGCTAAACATAAAACATGAGATAAGGTACCTTCAGAGTTAGAGAAGTGAAACAAAACATGGCACACACAGATAAGAGAAAGTAAAACCGGAAGTAATGAGAACATTCACAGAGACGCAGACAGACACAGAAACGTGACTGAATGGGGAAACATGGCAGCCAGGGGAAAACAGAATAAAACATGAGGAGGAAATAAGACACAAGAACTCACACAGCCTATATAAACACAGACACACAAAGAGACACAGAGGCCACAAGGGGAAAATACTAAATAATCAAGGAACTAAACAGGGAATATAAGAAACTCAAAACAGGACAACTAGACTAACAAAGTGGACTTCTACATAAATCATCATACAAAATGACAAAAACACACCCCCCCCCTCCCCCAGAGATTCACAGTTTTTAAAGTTTCTATAAGTAGAATGGGAGGCAGAGTTTTGAGCGACAGACACACTCTCTAGTTTTAAGATTAGCTTAAGCACTGATTACTTCTCAACTCTTTTCTCTTTCACATACCACTATTACATACGTAGTCTAAACCAGCAGTCCCCAACCCCCGGGCCTCGGACCGGCACCGGTCCGTGAGTCGTTTGGTACCGGGCCGCGAGAGTTGAGGCTCAGGTGTGAAATGTATGCTTTTCAGGATTTTTATCGGTTTTTAGGGTTATTTTGTTATCGTTTTTATCGTTAACTCGGTTTTCCTAGGTCTTTTTACTTGTGTTATGAATAAATCTTCTTTTTTTGGTACCGGTACTAGTTTTATTTTGTTGTATTTATCCGCGACACCTTAAAGGCCGGTCCGTGAAAATATTGTCGGGCGTGAACCGGTCCGTGGCGCGAAAAAGGTTGGGGACCGCTGGTCGAAACTACTCGTTAAAAAGGCAAACATCTGCATAAAACTACAGGCTTCATATAGGCGGAGGGGCAGGAACTGTCATCCAGCAATGATAAAGATCTTCAAGTTATGAAACAAGCTATAAAAAAAGCAGGTTAGGTCAATGCAACAACATTAATGTGAGGAATTGGGCTTTTCTTACCTCCTGCTGACACATTGCCTTCATAGAATGGGGCATTGCTGAAAGTGTTGGCTGAGGTGGGCATGAGAGGGGTATATGCAGCTGGAATTAAAAGAAATAAGAAACAAACCATTCAAACTAACACAGAGAGAACTCAAATTCATCTAAGTTTTTTTAATGCATTAATTAATTATCCTTTTTTTTGGTGGGGCGGGGGGGATGTTTTTGCTTAGGGTAAGGTGAACACTCAGAGGATGACATCAACATTGAAGTTTATTATGGATAATAAGTATTGTGTAAGCTGGGCCTCAGCAGTTGTGGGAAGGGAAATGTACCGTATGGTCATGTACTCAGGGCTGGTCTCTGTGGCCTTGGTGCACTCTGTTTAAGAGAGGTCTCCCCTTCCAGAGGGAATTATTCCTTTTTCCCTTATCAAAGGCATCAGTCGCATTTGTTACTTTGATGGACTGCCGAATCTTCAAGAATCTGTCTTAGCTTATCCATCCTTTCATGCATCTATTTTCTGCCGTTTTGGTCACTGAAGCAGCAGCCTGAGCAGAGAAACCCAGGCTTCCCTCAAATCAGCTCATCCAGGAGGACACAGAGACACTCACAAGTTAGCCAAGAGATATAATTTCTCTAGCAAGTCCTGGGTTTGCCCTGGGGGTTCCTCACGGTGGGACATTCCTGGAGTCCCAAGTCCTAGTCTGAGCTTCACTTTCCTCCACCTCTTCCCTTGTCAACAATCAGTCTAACTTCCCTTCTACAGTTCTTAGTATTCTTTAAGATATTATTCTTCTGAGTCATTCTGGTTTGTTTGTTTGTTTGTTTGTTTAAAAGTCTTTCAGCCTAATTTCAATAGAGCTGAATACAACTGAAAGGGCTCCTATTTCCCCTTCTACATGTTGTAACAAGAACACTTCAGAGCCATAGGTCATGGATTGCTTTTATCTACAATGGACAGTAGGTGGAGTTGCTTAGTCCTTGCTCAGGTGCTTGAATGCAGATATGTATGCGGGCAAAATAGAAGCTACTTTAGCATTATGACTTTGATGTTGATTTTGGTAGAGATTTGTAGATGTTTGTTTCTTTTTCTCTCCCATCTTCATACAGCTTTCTCCCTGTCTCTCACATTCTTTCAATCTTTGTGCCGCCATCCAAAAGATGAATGTTACAGTGTAAGAGAATTACAACCCAATAAAATGCATAAACTAACCCATATCAATTATCCATCCATATCGATAGCTATATTAAAATTGAATGAGGTGGTAATGCTGACAATTAACATAAGAAGAAAAATCATTTTGGCTTTCTTTTACCAGCACCCATTTAAAAATAAAAAAAGAAGAAGTTTATTTTAGAAAAAACAGGTATATCCATCTATGAAAAACAGAGTCATCATTTCTTTCAGGACTTAGGTCAAAGGAAAATCCTAAAACTAAAAAAATATTCACATTGGAATTGTTTCCTCAACAAAATACAACAACCTCTGTTTATAAGTAAAGCTGTTCAAGCACAAATAAATCCCAGAGAGAAAATAAAAACCAAATGATGCAATTAACAGGTTAACTGATATCAGGTCGCCATTTAACAGAAGTTTAGGCAGCAGGTTATTTAATTTCAGTGAATATTTAATTTTTTGTATTTATCTAGTCTCAGAATTAAAAAAAACAAAACAACAACTTCAAAGAAACCTTAAAAATGCACCTTGCATTTGCTGGAACATATTTGCTGCTGGTAGTCGCGCCGACTACCAGAAGCTCATCCCTGCATCCTTCGTGTGTCCTGCTTGGACTCGGTGTCTGTGCAGGGTGACTGCTGTCTTGCTATTTCACTTCTTACCTGCGCTGTTCATTCTGCTGCAGATCAACCACTCAGTAGACCAGCTCGGTTTTATGGTAACCACACAGGATCCGTTGATTTAACTCCGCCGCGCAACCTTCGAAATACATGTAATTAGGACCTCTTTGTATCAGCCCCTACGTCAAATATCAATATCAATAAACTAATGTTTAAACGACTGTTGTCATTTCTATTCCCTCACCAGCAGATTGGTGGTGGGTAAAGGTCTGAGGGTAAAGAATAAATATAAAGACAGAATTAAAACTATTCTTAGTCTACCTGAAAATTTGATATTGGGTCAGAGAGAAAAATAGCGGCTCTATTTTCTTCTGTCTCCTCTGTGACAGAAAGGAAATGAAGCCCTGCCTCTATCGTATTGCAAACATACCAACAAGTAACGTGTCAGAAGCTGTTTTTTTCTTCTCCAGGCGTGTTGGCACAGCTTTTCTATTCCAAGTAAAATTGTTCTCAGGTTAGTAGGAGGCGCCGACATTCCTGAAAAGTCATTTCTCATAATCCGCCCTCGTAGCCTCTCCCCCCTCGATCCATGTTGGACTTTTCTACATGTTTAAGGAACTTTCACACATAAAAGCTGTGCGAATATTTCATGCGTATTTTATATTTCGCACGAAATATATATTTCGTAATATTTGTAAGTATTTTTCGGACTCATCTATTGTTCATGCAGCTGTTCACACCGACCAAGCTCGATTTTCCCGATGTTTCGAATCTGAATTAACAGATCTGACCAATCAGAACACTGCATTTGGCAACCAGCATAGCTCAAATCGCGTGCATGTACTGAATATACAATGAAACGGAAATAGTAAAATAATTTTAATAGTAAAAATAGTTTAAAAACAACAACAACAACTATTTTACCTCAGGCACACAGCAAAATAGGCCTTCTCAGGTGTGTGGTCCCCACTCTGCTAACAAGAGCTTAAACTGCACTGACATCTTGAAATACGTTCAAAAGCGGCCATCGTACAGTTTCAGCTCCTGGATCAAAACATAAAATGCCTTCTCTAAGAATCTGATGAACTCAGAATCTCCGTCTTTTTCTTTCCTGGCTTGGGAACATCAGGACCAAATTGCGCAAAAGCGCAACGTGTTCGGTGTGTCTGTATGATACAGGGCAAGTTACAACCTATAGGCCTACATCAGTGGCAAAGGCGGTGGTAGTTAAGGAAAAGACAGAAAAAATAGATAAACAAAGATAGAAATTAAATGTTAAACAGGATGAGAGGAATAAATACTACAATTATTAGACCCACGTCTTAACTGTGGGACATCTTCAAAATGTTTTTCTTTTGCATTTGCGCCAAATGCAGAAAAGCAAAACTGAGAGGCCATATATGAATAAACATATTGTGGGAGAATGAAAAACATAAAGTAAATCTGACTTCTTTGTTTGTGTATTGCTTTTACAAACTCGTGTATTTAAAGAGAAATGCACCTTTTTCAGTTTAAAGTGTGTAAATTCTTACCACTAGAGGTCACAAGATTACAAACTGCAGTCCACTGATTTCTGTTTTCTTACCGCCTAGCTATAATGGCTCTTGTAGGAAAAATGTGCTTTAGTCAGCAAAAAACAAGAAAACAAGAACAAACAAATAAACAAACAAACAAAAAAATGGACTCAATAGCCATATTTTGCAGTATGCGTTTTTACCCCCAAGTCACCGCAAAAACTGGGGTTCCTCAGATCTGTCCTATCATATTTTTTTTTGTTTAGGTCTGCAAGGTTGTCAGTTAGCTGTTTACCTTAATATGCCAGGTGAGTCTCATCTATTTACTCTAGAGGAGGCTCTAAAACGTTTTAAAAGGAGTCTAATGCCAGTCAAATACACTGTTCTACTTCACATGTTGTTGAGGATATCCTTAAATGTTCTGTTGGTAAGCCCCGCTTTTTTCCACTGTTAGCTGCTGTTAGCCAGCATTACTGAAAATGTCTTTCAAGTGGATCTAACGCGGTTGAACTTGACACTAACTTAATAAACTCTCATACTGTATGAGAATGTGGTCAAACTATTTATTTATCAGAAGGAAAGAGTTATTTTTAGGACACTCGAGTCTAACATTAGCTGACATAAAGTCATAACCTGCTGTGTTGGGGGGTTCTTGGGGCCCTATCCTCGGCTTGCCGCAGGGTCAGTTGCCCGCTGCCTGTAGTCCCCTGGCACTCATGCCTTTTGCTGTGGGAGCTCCATCTGGGACGGATTGATTAGTGATTGATTAATCATCAAGGAACTGACCTTCCAGCCCATTGTTCATTCAGTAGTGCTAGTTTCAGTCACTGTGCAATGTATTGTTTATAAGGTTGGGAAACCTGCAGTCAGATTAGACTAAAGAAGTCACTTGGATGAGTTATGAAATGTTTCTCCCACTGAAAACACTGCATCAAGATGGCATTTCCTTACCTGGATGATTGAGCATGCATCAAGACGTCTGGGACCTCCCTTTCCCTTGGCTTCCCTGGGGTGGACACGTTTGTCATTAGGACATGTGGCCTCAGATCTTCAGCTTACTTGGGGTCCGTCGGCATCCGGTTCCTTGTGGGTCTTTTGTTTCATCCCCCATCCCCTTCTTTTCTGTCCTTTTTTCCATCCCCCCTTTCCCCTGTTGTCTTCTATCTTTTGCCAATCTGGCCTTTATTCCTTGTCTGCTCCAGCATAATATCCACACAGATAATAACACCAATAATAGAAATTAAATAATCAATTAAACAAAAACAATTAAAAACACTATGGTGCTCCTCTTGGGAAAGTAAATAAGTTTGGCTCAACAAAGCATTCAGACCATGATTCTGCTTGCTACAACTGATGGACAGGTAAAAAACAAAAAAGATGTAGGGGCGGGGCCATATGGCAGGTTCCAGGAACTGGGTTACATGTATGTCATCAGTTTGCTAGAAGTAATTACAAAGCTTTTTTTTATCCCCCCCAAAAACAACAAAAAAACCCAAAAACCAACAACTCAAAAAATGGCTGAGTACATCTTTAAAGAAAACAACATTCAGCCTCCAGGTGGAGCCACAGTATCATGAAGCTAAACTGCAGTCAGTTTACATTCCTGTAGATCTTCATCGTGTCACAGTGAATAAAGAGGCAGAGTTACAGGACTGATGTCTGCACACTGAACCAGAGACATGGACACATACAGAGTGGAAACTGTTCAGTTTAAATAAACACAGGCGAGTGCTTGATTTTCTCTCTTCTGTACTCCATGTCGGCAAATCAAACGCACCTCAAAGGGTCTGAAATGTTTGAAATGGTATTAAGAATAAGCCTGAGGTCAGTGGCAGCGTGTTAAGGTGCAGATATACCCACAGAGGGTTTCTCTCAGTCTGTGACATTCAGGTTTGCCTGTTGCTCAGCAATTAGCCATGTACAGTGTTTCATGATTTTACAGGTAAAAGAACAAAGGGCCGAAGCAGAGACTATTTTACTCATCATAGCTCATCAGAGACTTTAAAGGCGGGATGCCTTAGCCACATGTTAACACATTAGATGCCTTTTAGCAACATGTCGGTATGTAGGGTTTAGATTGCGACCCAAAAATGTGATCTTTTCCTAAACCAAAACAAGTAGATGTAACCCACCTAGATGATAAGTGCAAAAGCAATATTAAGACACTTGAGGCATAATATGTGGTGTGCTGGTTCGCTGCACTGTTTCAGCCTCTGTCACTCTGGCTGACTCCTTATGTGGGCGTCATCTGTTTTTGCTGGTGGTGGACCTATTATGCATGCTTGGGATTTCTCCTGTTACAAGTGTAAGTACAAAGATAAGTGTCTACTGGTAGACACTTATCTTAAACATGACCAAAGCTTTAAATAATGACATCAGTGCAAGTACAAGTAATAAGCTAGCTACAGGGAGGGACGCAAGACAGTTTACTTTAAGTGCCGGTCCCAAGACTAGATAAATAAGGAAGGTTACATCAGGAATGGCATCCGTCATAAAATCTTTGCCAAATCAAACATGAGGATGCTAAGATTTTCTTTGGGGGTGACCAGGATGGATAAGATTAGAAATAAGTACATCAGAGGCGAGGGGTCAGCTCAGGTTGAGGATTTTGGAGACAATGTTCAAGAGGGAAGGCTGAGATGGTTTGGACATGTGCAGAGGAGGGATAGTGGATATATTGGGGAAAGAATGGTAAATATGGAGCTGCCAGGCAGGAGGAAAAGAGAAAGACCACAGACAAGCGCCATAGATGTAGTGAAGGAGGACATGGGGAATGTTGGTGTGACAGGCGAGGATGCTGGGAATAGGTAAGATGGAGGCAGATGATCCACTGTAGTGACCAGTGTTGGTCAAGTTACTTGAAAAAAGAAATCAGTATCTAATTACTGATTACATCCCACCAAAAGTAATCCCGTTACTTTACTGATTACTTATTTTCAAAAGTAATTAATTACTTAGTTACTTAGTTACTTTTTAAAAACATAATTCACAACCTGAATAGGTGATAAAGCAATAGATCTTTTAGCCCAATTCTACTTTTTCTGCATAATCCATCATACAAAATGTAATCAAATGGAAACGTCTCTTTTTTTCCATCTACACCAAGCGGTGCAAGACCAAAGCTAGGAAGATTATGATGGACCTCTCCCATCCCATCAATGGACTCTTCTCACTGTTGAGGTCTGGGAAGCGCTTCCGCTTCCTTAAGGCCAAAACAGAGACAATGGAGCTTCTTCCCCCAGGCTATTCGGGCCCTGAACCAGGTGTAGGACTGGACTCTCCCACACACATCACATCACCACACGCACTCTGGTTTTTCTTCATGCACACTTCCTATAATTTACTGTAAATTTCTAAGTTAAATCTGTAAATTTTGTAAATACTGTAAAACCACTGTCATCTAATGGTCGGGCATTGGATTGCACAGCTACAAGCATTTCACCTCATGTCATACTGTGTATGGTTGTGTGTGTGACAAATAAAATTTGAATTTTAAAACTTGTTTTATTAGTTTTAATCTTTTAACCTCTTAAGCCCCAACGCCCCCTGATACGGGGCAAAAGGCAGGAGATCAGTTAGGCTTGCAGCTTAAGAGGTTAACTTTATGCATCAAGCAAAAATTTAATTATATGCAACATTCTCTGACTTGAAGAAATTAGTTTAACATTTAAACCTATTTTCTGCACATTCCAGCACATAAAATAAAATATTTTTTTTGTGTTTACACTCAGTCTTTCAAATAGATGCAAGTAAAACACAGCAGAAAATAAATAAAATCAAAGACTAGCGGTCCTGTTGCTCTGTTTTCACCTGTAAAGCAGGAGTGGGGTAGGCGGAGGTTTACCCTGGTGCAGGTGTGCCACAGCGGTCAGTGGAAGAATCCGTGAGTTTCTCTGTGAATTTCCCATTACGTGGTAGC